TCAGTATGTCTCTCTGTCTGTATGCATGCATGTATGTCTGTCTGTATGTATGTATGTCTATGTCTGTATGTATGTCTGTCTGTATGTCATTATGAATGTATGTATGTATGCATGTATGTATGTCTGTATGTATGTATGTATGTATGTATGTCTATGTCTGTCTGTATGTATGTATGTATGTCTGTATGTCATTATTAATGTATGTATGTCTGTCTGTATGTATGTATGCATGTATGTTTGTATGTATATAGGCATGTATGTATGTCTGTATGTATGTATGTCTGTATGCATGTATGTCTGTCTGTATGTCTGTATGTATGTATGTATGTCATTATGAATGTATGTCTGTCTGTCTGTATGTATGCATGTATGTCTGTATGCATGTATGTCTGTATGTATGCATGTATGCCTGTCTGTATGTCTGTCTGTCTGTATGTATGTCTGTCTGTATGTATGCATGTATGAATGTATGTCTGTATGAATGTATGTCTGTATGTATGTATGTCATTATGAATGTACGTCTGTATGTCTGTCAGTATGTATGTTATTATGTATGTCATTATGAATGTATGTCTGTATGTATGCATGTATCAATGTAAGTCATTATGTATGTCTGTCAGTACGTATGATTATATGTCTGTATGTCTGTCTGTCTGTATGTATGTATGCCAGTATCAATGTATGTATGTCTGTCAGTATGCATGCATGTATGTCTGTATGTATGTATATATGAATGTATGTCTATATGTCATTATGTATGTATATATGTATGTCAGTATGAATGTATGTCTGCATATCATTATGAATGTATGTCTGTGTGGATGTGTGTATGGATGTCTGTATGCATGTATGTCTGTATATATGCATGTATGTATGTCAGCCTGAATGTATGTATGTATGTCTGTATGCCATTATGAAGGTATGTCTGTGTATGTCTGGATGCCATTATGAATGTATGTGTGTATGGATGTCAGTGTCTGTATGTCTGTCAGTATGTCTGTATGTATGAATGTATGTATGTATGTATGTCTGTCAGTATGTCTGTATGTATGAATGTATGTATGTATGTCAGTGTGTATGTATGTATGTATGTGTCTTTATGTGCTCATGCATGTGTGTCTGTATGCAGTGGTGTATCCTGGTTTTGTGCTGCCCTAGGCAGGACAAAACTCAGGCGCCCCCTCCCCCCGTGCCACCCCCACCCAACCCTTCCCCCCGCCCTGCCTTCTAAATACACACACACACACTTTCACTGACAGATACGCATACACTAGCTAACAGAAACACTCACACACTAACAGACACACACACACACACACACAGTAACAGACACACACAGTAACACACACACACACTAACAGACACACACACACTAACAGACACACACACACACTAACAGACAGACACACACAGTAACAGACACACACTAACAGACACACACAGTAACAGACAGACACACACAGTAAGAGACACACACACACACACACAGTAACAGACACACACTAACAGACACACACACACACACTAACAGACACACACAGTAACAGACACACACACTAACAGACACACAACAGACACACACAGACACATAACACTAACAGACACACACACACTGACAGACACACACACTAACAGACACACACACACACACACACACACTAACATACACACACACACACACACTAACAGACACACACACACACATACTAACAGACACACACTAACAGACACACACTAACAGACACACACTGACAGATACACACTGACAGACACACACAGTAAAAGACATATACACACACTCACTCACATTAACCCCCCAGCCTCCTTACCTTTGGGAATGCTGGGGGGGGGGGAATTCCTCTCTCTCCCTGGTGGGCCAGTGGCTGCTGGGCGCTCGGTGGGCGAGAGAGCTCTTCCCCTGAGCACTCTGCTCAGCTCCCTCGCACGCCTCAGAGTGAGGCTGGGAGCCGGAATATGACGTCATCAACCCGGCTCCCAGCCTCACTCTGCGGCACGCGAGGGAGCTGAGCAGACAGTTCAGAGGAAGAGCTCCCTCGCCAGCCGCCCGCCTGCCCAGCGCCCAGCAGGTCAGTTAGCCACAAGGCTAACAAGGCATTTGCCCTGGGCATTTGGGGGGGCGGCGTTTTTTGCCGCCCCCTGAAAAATACCACCCAAGGCAAATGCCTTGTTTGCCTCGCAGCTAATACGCCCCTGTCTGTATGTATGTTAGTATGTGTCTGTCATTGTGTATGTCTGTGTGTCTGTATATGTGTGTATGTCTCAGTATGTGTGTGTCAGTATTTATGCCTTTATGCGTGTATGTCTGTTTCATTATGTGTGTCTGTTAGTATGTATCTGTGTCCTTTTGTATCAGTGTGTGTGTTTGTGTCTGTGTATTCCTGTGGGCGGTATTTGGAGGCGTACCCTGTGGGTGGTATTTGGAGGCGGGCCCCAGACCCTGAGCTGAGTTAGCTGAGTTCTGGTGGCGGCCCTGTAGCTATTGTTTAGGAATGTTTGAAACTTTGTTTTGTTTTTATTAGACCATGTTTCTTTACATACAAGAGATTGCCCACACCTATAAAAGAGTTTATTGCTAATAATTAAATTGGGTGGACCACACTGAATATAACTTGCACCCCTAATAATTATTTGTGGTGGTTTTGTAACAATACTTTTCAAACTCTGTTCTTTAGTCATTATATGCAACTGGTTCATGGATTGCAGGATGAAACTTACAAGGAAAGGTTAAAGGAACTTAACATGTATAGCTTGGAGGAAAGACGAGACTAGCGGCATATGATAGAAACATTTAAATATATAAAGGGAATCAACACAGTAAAGGAGGAGACTATATTTAAAAGAAGAAAAACTACCACAACAAGAGGACATAATCTTAAATTAGAGGGGCAAATGTTTAAAAATAATATCAGGAAGTATTACTTTACTGAGAGGGTAGTGGATGCGTGGAATAGCCTTCCAGCTGAAGTGGTAGAGGTTAACACAATAAGGAGTTTAAGCATGCGTTGGATAGGCATAAGGCTATCCTAACTATAAGATAAGGCTAGGGACTAATGAAAGTATTTAGAAAATTGGGCAGACTAGATGGGCCGAATGGTTTTTATCTGCTGTCACAGTCTATGTTTCTATGGTTATAAATATTTCTTTTCATGGCTGCCCTGTCATACGTATTGTCTAATATATTTAATATAATTATTTCCTACTACACTTTCCATTACATAACATTTTGGGTTCTCTTTTAGCTTTTCTTTTCTCACAATATTTTGGTGTGATATTATTTATTTTTGTTTACCCCAGGCTCTCTACTCCAGTGCTTTCCATTTTCCCATACTTAAAGGGACAATCGACCGGTCAAGTGCAAAACAAAAAAAATAATTAAAATAAATAACTGTTTAGAAGATATACCCCCAGTGAAAACATGCATGCATTTAATGATGCATTTTTTCATTGTGGTATATCTAAAAACAGCTGGCAAAAGCTACAGTTATCTTGTCTGACGCCGCCCAGACTTTCTGTGGCTGTCCAATCACAATATAGTTTAATTCAGCCATCCAGAAAGGCAGGCAACGTTTCGACACAATGCGTGCCTTTATCAAACCTGAGTAGCTTCATACTAAATGGCTTGATAAAGACACACATGGTATCAAAACGTTGCCTGCCGCTTTTAGATAGCCAAATACATAAATAATACACGGTAACTACCTACCGAGTTCTCTGGTTTTACTCTTTATATGTTTTGGATCCCCTGGAGCAGGAGTATAGGTGTCATAGGTACCAAAATTGGAGTTCTTACCATTGTGCCCACACGCATACTTATTCTTATAGGTTTTAAATGGTGGGAGGTATAAGTGTGTGGCAATGGAGGGGTGTTATGAGGAAGGCTTTTCACACACACAGCACCTAATATCCTCAAGCCAGCTCAGAGGAGATATGATGTTAGAAAAAAGAGCTCTATCCATATAGCTAGCTATCTGAGTTCCAATGGCAGGCCTCCAATCTGTCCTGATTACTGTGGGACAGTCCCGATTATAGGGTCCTGTCCAGCCATCCCTACTTTGTTTCCTGGAATCCCAAATCAGGGAAACCAGGGAACAGTCTCCAGAAAAGCTTAGTGCGAGCATATTATTATACGCACTCCCGCCACACTCAGATCACTTGGACCATGCAGAGAGTACTGCAACCATTCTTCCTGCATGGTCCGCACTTAGTGGGGAAACCTGTTTCTACTTCACCATTGGCAATTTTAATTGTATACAGTAATTGTTTTAATGCAATTCAAATCATATGGATGTTTTGTTCAAATCACTCGAAAATGGTTTAACTAAGAACTTGGGGGCAGCACTTGCAGCCTAATGATGCCAAAAATACCACATCCACATGTAGTGGTTATGGTGCTTAGACTGCTCCATTAATGTCGCTGACAGGGATAGGTGCATAACCATGCAAGACATTACAGCTGCACCTTAAATCTAGGCTTCTGTGATAGCTTTGGCCTGAAAATACAATTTGATTGTTAAATAATTTACAAAATGCTGCTGTTTCGTGAATAAAACGTGGTGCATGGTTTTTTATATAACCAAATGCTTATAAACAAATCTTGTGTCTAGTCACTTTACATAAACCAGATCTAAGACATACCCTATCTTCGCTACACGACTGGCATGCGAATGGTTAAACATTGTAAACAAAATCATAACTGTAGCATTTTGTTTAAAAAAATGTTTTTTTGTTTTTTTTTAATCAGTTGTTTCTTTTTTTTTCCCCTTGAATGAAATATAAGGTTGTTTTTTCCCCTTTTTCTTTGAATTAGTCTGGCAGAGAACTTGCAATTATGAGTGTGTTAACAGTAACAGAGAGTTCCACTCATTCTGAGATAGATATTCCCTGACAAGTTTATTCCAGGAGGCTGGATAGAGAGAGCAGCCTGGGGAGCTCCTCCCGCTCATTGAGAGAGAGACACTGGGAGGGAGTGTGCACTGGAAGGCCAGCCCAGGGATGTCTGATCCTGACACACACTCAGAGCTGGGACTAAGGCTTATTCCAATATCTTAAGTCACGTTGGCCAGAACTCAGCTGACCTGAGTGAGCTTTAGCCCTCCTGCCAGTGAGTGGTCACTCAACCAGGTGAGAGGATCCTTATTTTACTTGTGTGATCACTTGAAATAAATGAAGTAGATAGACTCGGTCAGCCTACTTCCCACCAGTCTGTGCTGGGATGGTGGTTCTGTTGCAGGCTAAGTGTGTTAGGAGTTGCAGTCCAGTAGCCTTTGTAGGGAGGAGTGGGCTCTTTGAGTGCTCTGTAGGGAGACTTTTAGAAAAAACCCTCCATAATATTATTGAGTGATTCATTGCAGCTAGGCATTACTTTAAACACTGCCAGATGTAGGAGCAGTCAGTGTGCAGGGGGTAAGTGGGATTTTGTGTTTCCTTTTGTATTGGGGATGTTTGGGCACTTAAAGGGTTAAGGAAGGGTTGCCTCCTTGGTTTAAATGGATATTAGAGGGGGGTAAATAAATCTGCACTAATCACATTATCCAGAGACTTAAGGAGGAAAAAAAATACTTCATTTGGATTAAGTGGGATATTAAATTTAACCTTTTAAATGCCAGGTGTTCTCAATCCTTTCTGCATTAAAATGTTCTAGTAGAGTATTCAGAAGAAACGACCTCATCTGCTGCATAACCTCTTTGCCATCACATCACTGGTTTGTAACTGAATGTGCAAAGTGGTCCTGCCACAGCAAATGGAGTGGTCTCCTCCTAATTTATTATTTTATCATTTTATATAGCGCCAGCAGATTCCGCAGCGCTGTACTAATCTCCCTGTATACAATGTTTCTTTTAACCCCTTCGTACCAAGGCGTTAAATCAATCTGTTTTATATACAGACTGGCCTGACAAATCATGTGGGATGATAAAGTTGAGCAGGCATGTGAAGGGTTAACCATTTAAAACTTATTATTGTGATGTAATCCACAGCCAATTACAGTCTAACAGGTACCATTATAAAAAGGTCTATTTTACAGCAGGTAAACAGTTAGGTATTGTTCTGTGTTATTTCTTGTAGCCTATGACTGTCAAAGGGTTAAATCACATGATTGCTTTTTCCTAACAGTAAAACAACCCATTTAAAGTTTCCTGTTTTCTATGTGGATTTTCTTGTATCTCCAATGATGTTCTAATATGATAGAATCATGCAATGGATGAACTGGTAACAAATATCCTTAAGAGGCCAGAATGCTCCTATTTCTATACCTGGAAGGCCTGGATTAGAATCCGATAACTTCATTCACTAACTGGGAATTGTGGAGCACCAACAGGGGAAATGTTAATATTTGGTCAAAGTGGAAAATTGCCCAGCTCTGGTACTTAACCAGTTCAGCTACTTTGGCCTACAGGGATTTTCACTAAACGTTGAATTGTAGCAGATTACAAGCCGGTTTGCAAAACTAAGGCTAAACTAGCTGATCTCGAAAGATTCTCACATACAGTTATTGTCATAACTTGGCTATTGTAGCCTCAATCTTGCAATTTGGATTTCAGCGTGATACATTTCAGAACGTAGTAAAACAACCTTGCTTTTCAAAGTTTGAATTAATATTTAGGGTCAGGTGGCCTTAGTTCTGGTCACTTGGTGACATCTTTATGGTGATAATTTAGAATTTTGTAATGACCATTTTTTTTTATGGTGGGCCATAGGAGGAACTTATAGTCAACAAAATGTGACCATTCCTGGTTATTCTTATCATTGGGCGATATCTATTTATTTTGTATGCTTAAACCATGTAACTAATCTGTAAATTTCTGCCTTAGATCTGCTGTGCCTCCTGATACATTCTAACTGTCTGAAAGCCAGTGTTTTGATAAGGGACCCTTTTGAGATAAGATATCAGATGTTTTATCTTTTAAAGGGACACTTCAGACACACTCAAGGCATGTGAAATAAACAGCTTTTAGCTCACATATTTTTACAATTTCCTATTAATAGTGTTAAAAATACTTTGACTACTTTCCCGTTCATCTGTCTTTCTCATGTTCATGTAACAGATCTGGTCATGATCCATTTTCATTTGCAAAAAATTATGAATGAAGCTTCAAACAAGAGAATAGAAGCCGTGCAAAAACTTTTTTATTAACCTTTTGTAAATAGCTTTATTTATAGTGTTTTTATTGAATCCCTGCTTTCCTATGAGAAAATAGCTGATGCTGGATGTCCCCATGCAGAGCGCGAGGATGTCCAGAGTCGGTTACCGGAGCAAAAGTAAGCTTCCATGAGTGCACTTGGATTAGCTGAGAACTTTTCAACTACTTCTTGGACTGTTGATTGGTAATGCTGAAAATCCACAAGAACCTTTTAAATGAAGTACTTTAAATCTAGCAGTCTATAGTGGAAGGGGTGCATACTAGGAGCCAAAATGGTCTGTGGCATTTGAGGACACTGGCTTTCCTACTGTGTTTTAGATGAGGTTGAAACCTCTCTTTTTGAAATTAAGCAGAGAGACATAGGACAATTTTAGTTACTATGGGGAACCTAATAAGATTTGTCCCTTATCTTATCATATAGAGCTTCCTGCTGTGAATGCTGAGGGTCATGATTGTCATGCTGTGATACAGTTTCCCTGAAACCAACAAGCTCATAGTGTTTCACAGGAGCTCAGGGGCATAACAAGAGACTACAGGCAGGACAAAACTCAGGCGCCCCCTCCCCCCATGCCACCCCCACCCAACCTTCTAAAATACATACACACATTCACTGACAGATACGCATACACTAGCTAACAGAAACACACACACTAACAGACACACTCACTCACACACTCACTAACACACATACAGACACACTCACTCATTAACAGACACACTCATTAACAGACACACTCACTAACACACACACACACATACAGACACACTCACTCATTAACAGACACACACTAACAGACACACACTAACAGACACACACACTAACAGACACACACACTAACAGACACACACACACTAACAGACACACACTCCCTAACAGACACACACTCCCTAACAGACACACACTCCCTAACAGACACACACTCCCTAACAGACACACACACACTAACAGACACACACACAAAAGCTCACACACTAACAGACACACACACTAACAGACATATACACACACTCACATTAACATATTTTTTTATTTATTTACCGCCCCACCCCCCCAGCCTCCTTACCTTTGGGAATGCTGGGGGTCCAGTGGCTGCTGGGCGGACTGGGCTGGGCGGGCGGCTGGCGAGGGAGCACTTCGTCTGAGCACTCTGCTCAGCTCCCTCGCGCGCTGCAGACGAGGCTGGGAGCCGGAATATGATGTCATATTCCGGCTCCCAGCCTCACTCTGCGGCGCGCAAGGGAGCTGAGCAGACCGCTCAGGGGAAGTGCTCCCTCGCCAGCTGCCCGCCCAGCATGTCAGTTAGCCGCACGGCTAACAAGGCATTTGCCCTGGGCATTTGGGGGCGGCCCCTGTAAAATGCCGCCCAAGGCAAATGCCTTGTTTGCCTCGCGGCTAAAACGCCCCTGACTACAGGGCTCCAGATGCAAGAATTACAAGGGATTCTCCTGGCCTGGCTTCCATGACAGGTGGATCTTCAGGGCCAGGTCGCAACCTTGACCTTTGCTACCCTGGTAGTTCTGCCTTTTCTTATCATCCACCTTAGATTTTTTTGGACTCGTTACAGTTATAATTATATTTTATATACTTGTAAACTAAAATAATTAAGTATTTCAATGCAGCATGTAAACATATTTCCTCTATCTTTTCTTCAAAGATGTAATTTTTATTTGAAGAGAATTTAGAAATAAATGTGGTTCCTGACCTTTCCATATTCTCTTTGCAATAGTGTTCCAAATGTTTTTTTTCTACTGCTGTCTGACCTGCATCTTGTTTTCTGGACTGACAGGGTCATCGATGAGAACATGGGTGGATACGAGATAATCAATAAGGAATGCTTGTCTTCACCTCTTCTCAAGAACAAAGTCACCTAATGTGTTTTGACTTAACTCTTGAGACTGTTCTGTAATTAATAATCTGTAAAGTGGCCCTTTAAAGCTCTAATGAGTCTTCTCAGGGTCAATCTGAAAGTTCCTAAGTCCTTATTTATTAATGTGTTCCTTGAGGGAACTCTGTCCCATTCATCGGACAGGACAGGCCCTGCTGAGTTTCAAGTCTATGAAGAGCTCCTGTGTTAGTGAATTTGCCTAATTAGTGTAACATATTGAGTTAGAATCTAGGAAAATCTCCCAGAAATTTCAGTCTAAGTATAAAGACAACTCTCTGGGTTTTAAACTCCGTGTTGGTACTCTGACACTGTGTTTAATCTAGAATAGGTGTCATTGTGACCATATCCATTCTACAAACCTCAATGACTGCGTCAGAATTGCAATCTCTATTTGTTATTCATCAAATAATAAAATGGGCCACCACGACTCTGGTGCAGTTTGTAGTTACAGTCACTTGTTTTCACTGACCTGAAGGAATCATGAGCTATAGCAATTATTTAATTTAAGTCCTGCTGTTAGATTTTATTTCATTTTTAAAGCGGAGCTGGTCATTTTTCTCAAAGTGCAGTTAACACAAGGCCTCATTCAGTGAACAATTATCCACATTCATCTTGATACATATATGTTTGAGAACTGGTGCACAGTTATATATTTAACATGTGTTTGCTTCATATACAGGAATAGATTTATGATCTTAATATTTAGCCCCCAGCCTGGGGGTTATAGAATAAGATATTGCATGACAACCCATCTTTAAAATATTAATGGCTCACTCACCGCACAGATTTGAAGAATAGCCACATTGCCCCGCTCTCATTGCTTATTTTCAATTTTTAACCATTTACCCTCTATCAGTGAGATGTGTGGGAATCTCTGTGCAGATTTGAAAGCCGCTTGGTTATTAATAAATGTCTGAATTCTATATTTCACGGAAAAATGTATTATATTTTTAGGATATTTAGGAAAGTATTTTTGTTGTTGTTTTTTCTTTTTTTTTGTTATATACGCAGTGAGTAGAAATTGCCTGCGAATTTTGCAGGCTGGAGACTTTTTCAGTAGTTGCTGAAAAACCCTGAGATACTTTTGTTCTAACTTGTAACAAATCTTCCAATTGCTTGTTTTATTTCCATCTTTAAATGTTATTTTGAGGAAGAGGAGGACTATTTCACTACTCTGCTCACTGGGACTGGTCAGGGCATTCATTACTCTTTTACTAAGTGTCCCCTGTAATGCACTATTTATGGTGGTTGGAATCTTGATATCCCTGTATGAAAAAGGGCAAAAAAAACCTCTTTAAATTCTTGTACTGATAAAAAAGACTTACAATGTGTTCCATGTAGCCCTCTGGCAAGGAAAGGGTTAAATGTTCTGAGAGGGGGAGGCAGATATCACCTGAATAGGGTAGATTGAGAACTCTGACACATCCAGCTTCCTCTTCAGGATCTTTTTATAGTCCTTAGGTTTGAATTGAAAAGGATTTGGGAATAAGCACACATAGGTGATAACGCTTGCTATGAGCTCTGAAAAGTGCCATCTACACAAGAAGTGGGATAAAGTTGGGGGAGGGGGAGTGTTGTTGATCCATAGAAACATCCAGAATCTAACAGAATGTTGACCTATTCATCACAGCAAGTGAGCCTTTATCTGTTCCTTGTCGTGTGACCCTATTCTAGTCATTGCTCATAGCGGACCGGCTGATGTGTGTACAGTACTGTGATTTTTATGGCTTACCCATCGTGTGCCATTCTGTAAAGGAAATACATAGTTGTGGACTAAATCATTACATGTTAGTGGGGTGAGCAGTTCTTTGCTCATGTGCCACCAGCATTTTAAAGGGACACTATTGGCACCAAAACAACTTTAGCTTAATGAAGCCATTTTGGTGTATATATCATACCCCTGCAGTCACACTGCTCAGTTCTCTGCCATTTTGGAGATAAATTGCATATTTATGCAGCCCTAGTCACACCTCCCTGCATGTGATTTGCTCAGTATTCCTAAACACTTCCCTTAAAGTTCTAATTTTTAAACTTACTTTATATCACATTCTGGTTAAATTAGAATTTCCTATCTCTTGCTCTTTTAGTAGCCTTAAAGACCCTGCAGGAGCATCCTGTGCGTGATTTAAAGGGACATTAGTCACCAGAACAACTACAGCTTAATTTAGTTGTTCCGATGAGTATAATCATTGCCTTCAGGCATTTTCATGTAAAGGCAGTGTTTACATTACCCCTAGAAACACATCAAAGTGGCCATTCCTCAGATGGCCACTGGAGGTGCTTCCTGGGGCAGTCCTGCACAGTAGGCGCTGCATGAAAATGCAGAATTTTCCTCATAGAGATGCACTGATTCAATGCATCTCCATGAGGAGGTGCTGATTGGCTAAAACTACGTTTGGTCCCGCCTCCTTGCCGATTTCCGCCAATCCAATGCTTTTCTTATGGCAGGTCTGGGGCCTGCTTAGCGCTGGAAATAAGGTGAGTCTTGTGTTTGTTCCTAACCCTGTAGTGTTCCTTTTAAGTTTATTGACAGAGCAGAAAATAATAACTTCTAATATATGTTAACATCTGCTTGAAAATTACTATATATTTTTTTTAATTCATGTTGGCTGTGTGCACAGCCATGAGCTGTTTGCCTAGAGCTGCATAAACAGAAACAAAAATGGCATATAATTGAGCCGTGAGTCTGTAAGGGCATAATATATACACTAAAACTGTTTTTATTAAAGGACTACTATAGTGCCTGAAAAACATACTTGTTTTCCTGGCACTATAGTGCCTTGAGGGTGCCCCCACCCTCAGGGTCCCACTCCCGCCAGGCTGTAGGGGGAGGAAGGGGTTAATCCCTTACCTTTTTTCCAGCGCCGGGCTCCCTCGGCGCTGGGACTCTCCTCCCTCTTCTTCCGTCACCGGCTCAATGTGCATGCGCGGCAAGAGCCGCGCGCGCATTCAGCCAGTCTCATAGGAAAGCATTCTCAATGCTTTCCTATGGACGTTGGCGTCTTCTCACTGTGAAAATGAGAAGCGAAGTGAGAAGCGCGGAAGCACTTCTAGCGGCTGTCAATGAGACAGCCACTAGAGCCTGGATTAACCCTAAAGTAAACATAGCAGTTTCTCTGAAACTGCTATGTTTACAGCAAAAAGGGTTAACCCTAGCTGGACCTGGCACCCAGACCACTTCATTGAGCTGAAGTGGTCTGGGTGCCTATAGTGGCCCTTTAAGCTAAAGTTGGTTAGTTGCCTATAGTGTTCCTTTTAAGGTTTAAAATAAGTTATACATGTTGTGATGGCTGTTGTAGCCACAGCATATCTAGTGCCTGTTCAAAGCTCTTGGCCACAGGTTGTGTTCCCAGCAGAGTAAACCCATGCCTTGTGAGGTACCATTCATGCTTCTGAGGTAAATTGAATGTCATTGAGCAATTTGGTGCCCATCCTTGGTGTCCATCTCAAATATCTTTACACAATGTACTTCTCATGGTACACCCACATTTAGGTTGTAGTAAAAAGCTAAGATTCCATCTATACATTGTATTAGGATATGTATAGATTTTATAATAAATCAATATAAATATATCTCCTCACCACACATCTAAAAGATGTAAACTTCAACTCCTGATGGTCTGTGTGTTTATGCCACTTTACAAGAAGCTCAGCCCCAGCCGTCAGAATTCGGTCTATATGTTTAGGACACAGCACCAAATGGGAGATAAACATCAGGAAAGTATACATCTGTCAGTCAGTACACATTCTGACAGAAGTACTAGCACAATGCACAGACTGTCTTGTTGTTTATATTGCTTTTTCTTTTCCTGATATGAATCCTTTGTGGATGGCCCATGTACTTTAAAACTAGGTTTAGGTTTTATGCAAGGAAAAACATTGCCGATATGTTCAGATTCCTCAGAGCAGTAACCCACGCATACCACAAACACCTTCTGATTACGTAAAAGCATTTATGCAATACACCGTGAAGGAAATTAGGTTATGAGTTGTTTTTTCTTTGCCAGTCCCAATGGTGCCAGGTATAGTTCACATTATTTATATCGTATCCAGAGCTGCCAAGTTTTTGACGTCTGTGATTGGCATAAGGTGGAATGTGAGTGTAGATAAGCCCAATGAATTGATGTGTCAAGGCAATTAGTGTCATTGGCACTGTGCTGAGGGTATGGTCATCCTGATGTGCATGCATGCCAATCAAATTTGCCCATATAGTGCGCAAAGATTAATCGCTTACAAGAATGATGAAATGCCCTGTAATTCACCAACAGTGCAACGTGAGAAGAATTAGCACTTTGCCCATCTTCCTCAAACTGTGTGTCAGAGCTAGTCTATTAAAGGGACTTTATGGTCACCAGAACCTCTACAGCTTAATATACTGGTTCTGGTGTCTATAGCCTGTCCCTGCAACCTTAGATCTGTAAACACTGCCTTTTTAGAGAAAATGCAGTGTTTACATTGCTGCCTAGGTAAATCTCTAGTGGGAGGCACTCAGACAGCCACCAGAGTCACTTCCTAGTCCAGTGCTGCAGAGTGTGCAATACTGGCATTCAACGTCTCCATGCTCTGCATGTAGGCGCTGACCGTTCCCAACTGAGATGCATTTACTAATGCACGCATGCGCAATAGCCTCCCAATGGGGAAAGCATTGGATTGGCTGAGATGATCGAGATTAATTATATCAGCCATGGAGGAGGCACTAGTGAGACCGGTGTGACAGGGAAAAATGTGAGTAATATACCCTATCCACTGAGAGGATGGGTTGCGGACCTAAATGTCAGTTCCTGCACAATTGTGTCCGGAGTAAATGTTTTTGTCTTCCTGATACTATAGTGTTCCTTTAAATAGTTGGGAAGATTCTTCCATGCCATTTATTACAGCATACATTCCAAGTGTCTCTATTTAGGAGGGAGAGTCCCTATATTAAGACCCAAATCCCCAAGTCCCTTTTGTCTACCCTAATGTCCCTCTGTAATAGGTGCTGTGACGGACCGCTGGCACTCCGACCGAGTACCTCCGCCAATCGATGCTCCTAGCGCTTGCTGAGGACTCCAAGCACTTCAACCGACACCATCAGCACTGCGGACCCCACTTCTAGCGATGCAGCTGCGCCGGGGTCTCGCCGTCTCTCACCCACCCTGGATCCACGACCAGGATCCAGCTCCCAATGGGTGAACCTCTCCCAAATCCAGAGAGCGTAGCAGGAACAAATCAAGCTCTTACAAGAGCTTACTCTGGGGAGTAAGTGATTATAGCAATCCCCAGAGTGTAGGTATCCCTTCCCCCAAGCATGAGCCAAGGCTTCAAGAAAGGTGCAAGTGGGTCTGGTTTATTGAAGGCTACCTGCCCGGTATTTATGCAAGTGTCCACCAGGTGGACACTCCCCTAGGGGACCTGATGGAACAATGGGACACATATTGGATATTAGCCAATCACAGACAATACAAACAAAACACTCCCACAGTGACATCACAATCCCTCCTCTCTATCCTGGAGATAATTGGGAAGTAATCAAATTATCTCCCAGGACAGAGGCAAGACTCCATTAACCACATGGTTACAAAAAGACATACAATTACACAATGTTACAATTACTATATAAAACACATACATGCAACATATCCCCAGATAGCTTAGATCTGAGCGCACATTATTATCGAATGGCGCTCAGATCACATACATACAGTTCAATTGCCATGGAGCCAAAGTCTTTTCCATAGTCTTTCGTTACACGAATAGGCTCCATGGCATAGCTATCTGGGGTAGCACTACTCACATACTGAAAGTCCCGAACGCCCTGGCAGAAATACTCAAATAAACCTTTCTGCAGGGTAAAATACAGCTATCAGCACAGGGGCCATAGTCGGAAGGCAGGAGGCTAGCCAGTAGTCCCCTCCAGGCACAAGTGGCGAAGGGCACTTCGTCACAGGTGCTCCATATTGTTGTTGTCTGAGTGTATAACAGAGCACCATGATAACGTGGAGTATCACAGTAATGTGTCTTTAAACTACAATAAATGTGTTCAGAAATCAACCTGTGGAAGAGACATGTTGTTCTTGTCCCAAAATTTAATTTTAGTTACATACATTATTTAGTCTTCTAAAATACTCTGAACATTTAAAATGTTGGTGGGTATGTTCTAGGGTACTATCAGGTTTTTAGTTGCATGTTTTGTTTTTTGTTATCCAGTGAGATGTAAAATAAGTTTTGTATCACAAAATGTATTTCTCGGATTCTTTCTGTTGCAGGCGGAAGGGAAATGTGAGGAATATATTAAGTAATATACTTACTATGTGTCTGCCTGGGTGTCCTAATGCAGGCTGGTTTGCTTATAGCAGTTCATATCACTTGGTGCTGCTCATGTGTAAGCTGTAAACATATATTGATAAGGAAGTCATGGCAGGGGAAGGGAAGAGGGGGCGGGGGGGCGGCGATTCGGATTGTCTCTAAGGATGCAGGCTTATAGGCTTTTCACCTAAACTGGTTACTCAACCAAAAAACTGTGTTACTAAAACCTGTTTTTGGCTAGAGCAACCCTTCATATCCTGGTGTGTGTGTCCACCGCCCAAAATTTAAAAATAAAAACACAACATGGGTAAAGCTTACCTTTATTCCAGCACAGAGGCCAGTTCTCCCTTCAGCCTGATTCTCCACTGCTGACGTCAGTCCTGCACACTGCATGGATTGGGTAGCTGCCATTGGACTCCTATTGCCATCATGCTGTACATGCTGACCTCAGATGTCCAATATGCACAGAACTGATTTTAGAAAACCCACACCAATACCCCGCGACAGAACCGCTCGAAAGTGGCTCTGTCATCTGTGGTTTCTTTTATTGTATAACTGTAAAGGTCAGTTTGAACAATAGCCAGATTGACAGTCTGATTGCATTTACTCAGTAGCCAAATTGGAGGTAGGATTTAAAAATAAATAAATATATATACTTGTACTTTGCTACATTATGATCTGCTTGAATAATCTCAGATCCATGATGCTTGTCTGCATCTAGAAAAAGTAATCGCTTTTTCCATGCTGACGATAAACAAGTGTGAAGACATTGTAACTATGCAACGTTTGCCTGCAGTGGCTGTACTCCTCCGTTTTAGCAGGCAGCTGTTTGTAGTAATTATGCTGGATTACAGATGTCTGGTCACTGTAGTAATATGTTGATTTTACATCATTTTTAAAGGTGATTGAAGGTCATATTATCAGATTGTTGTTTTTGCCTGAGGTTTCATGCCACAACTGTGTTCGTTTAATTTATTTGCCTAAAAAAAACACTTGTCAGTCCTGTGTGAAATAAACGTTGGACATGTTGTTGTTGTTTTTAAAGGTTTATAACTAGTGATGCCACTCCTGGCATTGCGATTAGTCTGTACACACATTGACGTCACGCTGAGCTGTCTGACACCATATTTTGATGTGTCCTGTTACTGCACATATCTGGTATAAAGGTGGAAGACATTGGGACAGAAAAAATAACTCCAATAATAAGAGTGGAGTGAGCTTATGAGAGCTTGTAAAAAGGGTGATGTGAAGCAGAATGCTTAATACGAAGGAGACCAGAATCTGACATCTTAGAAGGGACTGAAATATATGAAGGGAAAGTTCAGGAACACGAATGGAGAGACCAGACAATATGACAGTATAGAGGGAATGAGACAAGGAAAAGTACAGCGAAGATGTGCCCTGATGCATCTATTTCTGTTACTTCCGAATATTTGGCATTCAGGCTTAAAGCGATACAATAGTGCTAGGAACTTTTTTGTACTTACCCGATTCAAGCGCTGATGTCCCTCATTGCTGGGTCGGCACTCTTTCCCCTTCCAATGTCACAGGACAGGAAATGCTTATGCACATGCGCAGCAGATGTTGAAAGCACATGAAAGCCCTAATTTTTTGCTTTGCTGCAATGCTTTCTTATGGGGAATTGACTGGCGTTCGATATCGTCATGCATAGCATGAGGACATCCAGGTCAGTTAGGAGACCAAAAGTCGCATTGGATTGGAGGGAGAAAATGTGACTAAACTTATTTTTTAATCCTTGCAGTAGGGGCCCGGTCACCTAAATGGTGACTAGGACACTGAAGCATAAGGAATAAACATTTTTTATTCCTAAAGCTATGACACGGATAGGCAGCCTTCGGCACTCCAGATGTTGTACACTCCTCTGTTTCCCCAGGGTTATACACATTTTTTTTTTTTTTTTTTAATATATACAGAAGAAAATACTTAACTCCCACAAGATGTAGTATTCACAATACAATATAACTGCGCTTTTTTAATTGCACTCACAGTGTGTTGGAAAAATGTTGCACCTTAGGATGACTCCCCTGGTATAGCCTGGGGGGCTTTCACCTTCTTCAGGTCCCTCTTGGTACACAGATCTGGTCTGTTGCGAAATCAGAGAATCTGAATATAAGGTGCGACTTTTTCCAACACACCGTGAGTGCAATTTAAAAAGCGCAGTTATATTGTATCCAACTGTATCACACTGTTGTTTGTTTTCCTCCTCAGATGTTTAGCTGATTCCCAAAAATATCATTGTTTGCATTCCCCAGGGTTATGCCTGTAGCATTATGGGAGATGTAGTTCACAACATCTGAAGTGCTATATGTTGCCTACCTCTGTGCTATAGTGTTCCTTTTAAGAACCTTTACCATCACTCTTTCTGACTTTTGCTGTGACTGTTTCTGGGTCCTTGAAAACAGGCTTTTGTTAATGTACTTTCATACTCCAAGGGATACTAGAGTGCCATGAGAACAAAGCTGTATTTCTGTCACTATAGCACCCTCTGCATACCCCTGCCTCACACCCCCCAAGTGAGTGAATAAAGGGTTAAAAACACTTTATTTACTTACCTGACCCCAGCGCCGATGTCCCTTGGCACCGTGTCGACTCTCCACTTCCTCCTCTGTACCGTGACAAGTGGGCACTAATGCGCATGCGTGGCAAATGCCGCGTGCGTATTAGAACTCCCCATAGGAAAACATCTATGGGGAAAAAATATGCTCATTACATGCAAATAGTGAAACCGGATTGGGCAAGCAAGCATTACATTGCACAAAAGGAATTGGCTTATTGGTCAAGATTCTTGTCATCATTCTCGTAATTTTCCCTCCCTCTCTCTTGTTTTACCACTTTTCAGAAATCACTTCGGCAATTCTCGAACTTCGGCACTTTGGAACCTCGGCACTTCAGACATTCGTAAGCATCTGAATGTCCAAATGGCATAAAACCCGTACATTCGGAAAGAAACAAATTGCACATGTCTAGTGCCTATAGCAGGCTTCCCCAAACTCTGGCTGTCCAGATGTTGCTGAACTACAACTCCCATGATTCTATGAATGAAATAGGCTGAAAATCATGGGAGTTGTAGTTCAGCAACATCTGGAGGGCTGGAGTTTGGGGAAGCCTGGCCTATAGTGTCCCTAATGTATCGGTTTGTAACTTTTTAATTTAAACAGCACAGATTGCACACAGATAATAAATTTATCTAGATTCTGTCTTGATCAGTTGTTTTCTGTTACTAGGATAGTTTTAAACATTGTGTATCACTGCTTGAAAGGTCCACCTGGTATGGTTTTATAGCGATCAGCAGTGAGCGTTATAAAAAGAACCAGAAGCTTTCTCCCTGTGCTATGCACAGATCCCTGACAGCCTGTCACTTAGCTGATGTATATGGACTGTGGAGTCACTAACTGTGATCACAATACTGAGTCACGGTATCTCTTAATGACCTCAGTTGAAGCCTTTACAGAATCTTCATTCTACCCTTACACAAGACCCCATTTAACTTCCACTTGAGCACAGTTATATTTAATCTGGCCACAATTAACTGAATTGAGTGCAGCCTATTAGATGAATGATGAAGAGTTTCGCAAGCTCGGCATAGAAATAGCCCTACCGAGACATTGTCTGACTTTTATTACTGTCCATGGAGCTCTTTAACCCATTAAGGACACAAGCCTTTTTTTTGCTGTTTGTGTTCAAACGCAATTTGCATCTGTCATTTATTGCACCAACACATATTATATACTGTTTTTTTTTTTTTAGAGGGCAAAAAGCGCTTTAATTTGATGTCACATATACATAGATAAATTATCATTAATATGTCCAGCTTAGATCATTCAAAATAAATTCATTTATGTGTCTTGATTTATAGAGTACATAATATGTGTAGGATTTCAGCTTATTTTTAAAGTTACAGGACACAAAATACAAGGATTTAAACAAAATTTCAATGTGAAACAATTTTAGAAGTTGGTATGTTAGTCTTGTAGGTTTAGTAGCCATCACAAAATTATATATTTATATAAAGTAGACATCAAAGGCTATTTACCTAAGGTTATTTTGAAACTTTTTATATAGCCATTTCATCGCCAATCTCTGCTAAATATTGGAGTAAAATCATATTTTTTCTTTATTTTGGCATATACACATATAACAAGGTTTTTGTAATGTGTATTTCGTAAAACTGGTGTGTGCTATTCCTGGACAGAAGAACCCCATATTGTGTTCAGCTATATCTGCTGAGTATAACGATACCCCCATTATATGCCTTTGGCACTATTCTATGAAGCTACAATGCCATATATTGTTCCTGTTACATTTTGTTATTGTCTCTTATTGTAAAGTGCTGCAGAATAAGCTGGCACTATATAAATGCTAATAATAATAATGATGATTTTAAGAGACCAGGCTATTTCAGTTTCAATAGTTAAAATTTTCCTAGATGGATTTGACGGGCCTATGTCCAGGACATACTTGAAAACAAGAGAAATCTCAGTGTATCCATCCTGGTAAATTATTTTATGAATAAATGTCTAATTTTGGAGTATTATAGCAGTTTTACTGTTCAAATAACCCCATAAAGGGCTTCCGTTTGATAAAGCAAACATCACAGGGTATCTTATTTAGTGTATATTGTGCCTTAACTTGTCACCATGTTTCCACCAATTTATGCCAATGTTTGTGCTAAGTTGGGAAAAAATTTAATTTTTTGCATTTCTTACACTTTATATGTGCCACTGTCATAAAATCCCCCAAATTATGCTCAGTTACATCTTACAAACTGTATGGGTAAAACAATATGCCCAATGTATGACCTAGATCCTATTTTGTGAAGTTACAGTGCTGTAAAAGAGATGTGACAAGTTCAGGTTTTTAAGTGTGAATTTTCATGGAGGGGTTTGATGCGTCCGTATAAACTTTTAAAAACTTTATTTTTAAACTTTTTTTTTTTTAAAGTTTCTTTAAACTTTAAAAAAAAATTATAAACTTTTTCAAATTTTAATATTAACCCCTAACTAGCAGTAAGCATCACTAACAGTAATTTCCCAATTTCCCATAACTCCCACCAACCCCAGCTAGCAAAATATATAATTTTAAAATATATAAATTAATTAATGAAATAAATTGAACCCCTGTGACTATGGCCCCTGGGGTTTTATGCCAATATCAGGCGCACACATCTTATTTAAAGACAAGAATTTTTGATTTTTTTTTTTGGTAGTGAGGATTGCGTTTTGACTCAGTACTGAGAACCTGCAAACTATTTTACAATTAGTTTTTATGTAAATAACAAATTTAGAAGTGTCGTAGAGTCTTCCTTCCCCAATGAGGTAAAAAGTGGCTACCCCTGCTCCAATGACAGATACTCATCATGTGGGAAATGGTAGATGCATATACACCTTTAAATACTTCTGGACATTGGGACGATAGCTAGATTTGGAGAATAGTACACTGGCTGAGATTCATGCAAAATGTATGATATTATGGCTGGGTTAGTTATCACAGACTGGCCTAGCATTGTCCTCCTGTTGATGGGTTGCACTTCTGGAATTGAAAAACCCTGTTACAGGATGTTTCTGATCAGCACTTTGTGGATGGACCTGCATGGCTGTCAAGTGCAGTTGTTTTACAATTATCTTGTGTCCCTTAGGGTTGGTCTAAGTGGTTCATGGTTGGATAAGCTCCTAATCGGCTCTTACATGATAAACATGTATGAAGGAGAAAGCATTTCTAATGGCACCGTTTCCAGTACTGTGCAAGGCATTAACTAAATTATTTCATTATCTCCAAGTATCAGATCTGTACAAGATTGCAATTCTAAGCTGAAAGCATGTTTATGTATATAAACTCTCTGTGTATGTGTATACTTCCTCTGTATACATGCAGACCTGGTTGGATGTGTATGAGCCCGATGCAACGCTTTCACCACTCCTGCCCCTGGATGTCAATGGCATTCCTTTACTTTAGTTGTCACTATGCACTGAGGAGTACATAGGAGTAATATATTATTATTAAAGGGAAACTATATACAATGAAACTTGTTGTGGTAGAAGTCGTTCCTGGGTGCAGCCCCTTTGGTTTTAGTTAACACATAAAAAAAAAAAAAAAAAAAAAAGTTATTCAACAAAAAATGGATCTTGCATTGCATCCAGAGCCCATCCCTGCACTGCCACTGTGATAATGATCTATTTAGATATATCTGTGTTTGAATGGTGTTGGTTTTAAAGTGCGTCTTAGGGAAGAGGCCTGGGGGAAAGGGGTGGTATTGAAAGACTCTTTTGCATCATAACCACTACAATAAACTGCGGTGGTTATGGTGCTAGACTGCCTCTTTAATTGTACATAGTGTTTCTCTGCTCAGTTGAATCACTGTAATCTACTTGGAAAATGAGCCACAATTTTGTCCCTATTTATTTTATGCACCCTTGAAATGTTTTATTTAAAGCCAAGTAGAGATCACTGACTGAAGCAGACAAATATTTAATTTAATCCACTAAACAAATGAGTCACATTTCCTTGTAAATATCTTAACTGACTTACGTGGACTGGTTTAATATGTTCCACTAATTGATCTTAAGGCAAATTTATCAAAATGCACAAATTGTTTGAAAGGTATCTAAATAACACAGTTACAATGTTTGATGGAAAAATACCTTCTTAAAAGAACACTCTGTAGTGGAATTACTAGTTGACTGCTCGGATTTAATTTACATTTTATATTTGGCACAGTAAGAGCATATCTTGTAAATTAAATTTAACTATCATGGTGCTGTGCCACTGTGAAGGGGGAATGGGAACATATGGTATTTTGGAAGGAACGTCGTATCATGGGGTGATGATATTATCCTGAACACAAAAGTACTGCAGAGCTAATTGTGTTTTACTTTCGTAGAAGGGCCAGTTCTTCTTTAAGGAGAATATATATATATATATCTATATATTATACACACATTGCAGTGTTCTCTAGATGGGTGTAGTCAATAGTATGCTTCAGGTTTAGAGACCCTGCAACAAACATTTCTATCATTAAGAGAGACCCAGCTTCGCAATTAAAGAGGCACATTTAGCACCAGAACTACCACAGCCCATTGTAGCTGTTATGGTGCCATCATGCCCCTGGTGTAATCCTCCAGTTCTGTATCAAACAGTTTTTGAGCAGTTTGACACAAACTGAGAGGCCCACCAACAGCTTGGCACCTCACTCTGTTTAATGTGAAGTTTCATTGGTATTGATAACAGTGGCAGAACTAATGTAGAGAAGATTTTTTTTTTTTTTAATTTTGAGCCGCCACTGTAGCACAATTGTTGCCAAAGGGTAGATCCTCAGCTGTTGTACAATTATCAAAATGCTTCTGCCAGATGGAGATCTACCATTTGCCCATCCCTGTTGGATTGTATTTGTGAGCAGTGTCTCTGTGTTTTGAATTTGTGTGTAGTGTTAGTGTTTTGAATGCAGTGGTGTGTTTGTAGTGTTGCATTTTTAATGCAGGTGTATATTTTGTGAATGTGTAGAGCTGATGTTTGATTGCAGAGGTGTTTTTATATGTGGTATTGGTGTTTTAATGCAGTTGTGTTTATTGTCTCTAGTTTATAACTGCCGGGTTGGATTTGTGTGTGTAGTGTTGGCATTTGAATGTTGGGATATATGTGCCAAGTGTAGGCACCATTGCAGCCCAATGTTAGAGCCGTGCTAGCACGTGTATGGGTTAACATGCCTCTGTTTTTGTTCTTGGGTTAGTGACCCTCAATTTCTGGGCTCTTTGGGGCTGGACCGATCTGCTAGAAGTTTCTGAGAGAGCTGTAGGATCTAGAATTGAAGGGGAATTATAATCACCCACACCACTTCATCTCAGTGAAGTGGACTTGGTGCAATGTCACTCTAGTATTAGCCCGCATTCTTGCCATTCTGCAGGTTTTAAATGATTCTATTAGCTGTCACACTGATGGCTTCAAAAGCTGCTTCAGAAAAAATAGCCAAGTGAAATAATGTCCATAGAAACCATGTGATTGGTGCAAGACGGCGTTTTGTTGGTAAAGAAAACTAACCGTTTGAACCATTACATGGTGGGGGGAGGGGGATGGATGACATTAGAACAGTTAGATAAAAATTATAGCATTAGGAATACACATTTGTATTTGTAATTATTTATATTTTATTTATTATTTATAAAATATTTTACCAGGATGTATACATTGAGATTTCTCTCGTTTTCAAGTATGTCCTGGGTAATTCATTCTTCTGTTTCATTTGGCAAGGTATACAATAGTTATTTGTTCTTTATTCATATTTATTCAGTTAAATATTATTTTTTTTTAAATTTATAAATTGTGCTATAATATTACTGTATCTGTATCGTATGTCTTCACAACAATAATTTTCACTTTTATTAAAGAATATTATAATAGGGGCTGGGGAAGACCTATTATACTAATTGCAAAATAGCCCATTAATTTGTACTTGTTCACTAGGTCAAAAGTTGCCAGCCCTCCCCTGTCCTTACGCAACAGCTTGCACCGATATTACAGAGTTGCCCTGAGATTAGAGGAGCTGCATTGTTCTAATTCTGTTCTGTAGACTACGTACAGTGACGATAAAATATTATTTTGAATTATGGAAAGTGAGCTATAGTCCGTGCTGGTTCTGAACGGTGGTCACACAGCCAGTCAGATGTACTAAGTTTCTAAATCTTGAGTCATGTTGTTGATTTGACACTGGATACGGAGTTTCTCATTTTATGCTTCCGTGTCCTGATTAGTCAACTCTACCAGTATGATGCATGGAAGTTAAACTCCATATGGATGAGCAGCTGTCTAATAACTTAATAGTCTATGAATGAAAGTTTCAATAATGCTTTAAACATGCTTTTTATTGGGTCACTGAGCTAGTGCCCAGAAATACAGGAACATTTTAAAGATGGCCATAAGCAACGGCCGCCTTGCATAAATCTATTCTCGTCTCGGTAAATTCTCCATGAGAAACACATTGTAGGATTGAATTTTAAAATGTTGAGGGGGGGCTGCTAAGCTTCCATTTTAGCGTGTCCAATGACCTTGCATGAAGGGATGCATGTACTAATGTAAAAAAATAAAATAAAAATTATGATGAATTTCATCTGGTTTAACAAAAACTCATTTTTGTTGCTCTTATTTTTCTTTGTGTGTTAAAATAGAAATCTAATAATGCTGTGAATATAACAAATACAATTTAAAAGAAGTAACAATTGCAATTCTGAAATTCGGGGGAATGAAAGCTACATAATTGCTGATGGGTTTTTGTTTTAAGCGATGGCAATTTATCTATCAGTTTACAGAGAATTCTGGGAAAGGTCAAGGTGCCTCACCCTGGATAATGATACATGACCGTTATTTACTGGGATATTAAACTCGCTTATATCGCATTTGATTCCTGCATACTATAAGCTTAAATGTGTGTAGACTTTTATAGGAAACGCGGTAATAAAAGCTTGTGTTCTATTAAGTTTTTGAGGATGACTGTGTGTGATCCAGAAATGCAGGGCCATCGGGGACCAAACAGCCTCATCCTGCGGTTAAAGGATAACAAAAGTTTAGCACTCCCAACTCTTTTATGACTTGCTCAACTTACCCCTTTATCAGGCTTTTGAGGGGTGGAATATACCAAATTGGGGGCCGACAGATTATTTCTTCATCTTCAATTTTTAGTGCCGTTGCATGAGACTTTGTCAGACCTCACTGGATCCAAACCACATTTATCCATAAGTTAAAAATCAGTAAGTGGGAGATTAAAAGGCATGAAAAGCTTGTAAAACCATACGTTTTAGAATTATTGGCACAGAGGTGGCATTGACGGTCACATTAATGTCTTTTTCCAAGAGTGGAAACAGCTCTATGCAACCTTGGGAGCCAAATAATGTAACTTTGCTCTGGCTCATTGCGTAGAGTGTGTGATTATTCCATAACGATCGGCAACAAAGGTAGGAATGATTAAACCCCCATTTAAGGCTCTTCAACACCATTCCAGAATTCCTAAATATTAAGAACACAATATGTAATTCTGTGTATGGCAACACGTGATTATTTCATTTTTATAGAAAAGTCACGTGTACTTAATTAAAATTAAAAAACCTGCATTTATATAAAAATGCCGCCCACCTGGTATCTCTTAATGCTGCTATAGAGGTGACCTCAGTGCTTCCACCTATAAATATGTTACACTATATGCTTTGGCAGTGTTTTTAGGAGTATTTTAACAAACCTGCTTCTGTTCATATGGCATATGGAAACAACATTACTTGGAGATGCAGTGATTTTTCCTTTAAATAAACTTTTTATTTTGGCTGCCATTCTCTGAGACGATGGCTTTATATACAAGAGCCCTGTACTTGGAGTCACAGTTCTTCATTAACCACTTTTAGATCAGTGTGAAGCTGATGGGGAGAATTTTTTTCTTCATCAACTCCCTATACCAGTCTGATGTGTATAACCAGCTTGGAGAGAGCAGTACACACAATAAAATTGGGGAATACTTTTACCAGGGTGCTTCAGAAAGGGACGGTCAGTTCCCCAAATATCCAATGTGAAAAAAATGTACAAAATGTCTAGGCACACTGGCTAATTTCTTCTGGAAGACCACCTTTATTTGGAATCCTGAAATAAAAATTACCCGGTGTGCCGGGACATTTTGTACTTTTTTCAATCTAAAGTGTATGGACGTCATATCTGTAAACCAAGCTGCATCCATCTTTGCCCCCCTTTTGGATTATATCGTCCATTATGGCAGTTGATAGGAAGGCACCAAAGAGCTGTAATTCAAAATACCTGCCTGAGCTGCTGCACAATGTAATACAATATGTAATTTTGTAACTTGACAAATCAAGGGTATTACCAAGGGCTCATCACGGGAGTATCACATTTAGAATCTTATTAATATACCTCTTGTCATTTGTTCCTAAATAGGATTAAAAAACTCAGGAAATTATGGAAAAACACCTACCTATTTAGGAACCAAGAGCAAGAGGTATATTAATAGGGTTCTGAGATTTTTATCCTCTGTCCTGTTGGCTTGGCCAAACATCAGAAAGTTACCCAAATAATTTCAGGTATCCCTAGAACAATGTTGAACAATGTTGTCCATTTTTTTATTTTTTTTATAGGCTGTAAAATATAACAAACACTTCAATGTCCACTTATCGACCAATAATGACTGGATTTTTCCATTCTATTTTTTTATTAGAGGCTGAAGTTTTCTAAATGAAAATACAAGTGTGGACCTCTAAAGGCTCACAAAAAAGAATCTTACTTTTATCCATGTAGAGAAATACAGACAAATGATACATATCGGGATTGGACAAAAGACAAGATAAAAAGGTGATCGAGAAGATAAGGTGTGCAGAGCGAGGCTTGAGTGAGGCATTGTATAACAAGGTAAATTACCAAACGATGGAAGATCCCAAAAAGGAGTGTGCTCATCCTGACCAAGTGAGCAGATTCGAAAAAGGAATTCCACCATGTGATAACATATTTGTGGACCACTGAACTGTGTCCTCTCTGATCTTGTCTACCTTTGCTTTATATTGAATCTTGAGCTTTTACAAATGTTGTTATTATTATTATTTACATAGCACCAGCAAATTCCATTATGACCTTTATTACTGAATATTTTGTGTCCTTTTTCCTTGTTTCCATTTTTTTTTTCATGTAGTTTTTTTTTTCAGTAGACTCCCAAATGAGAGCATTTGAAATTTTGACTTATGGAACTTGCATTCCATAGGGGTGTTCTAAGCAATATCTGGCCGAATACCATATTTTATATCCGAGAGAGACATTTTTTATGTAACCATAGAAGATTTATAGCCTTTACAGCATGGATTTTCACTGTTCCCCTTGTATTTCGCCTATATCGTTTTTCGTCATTTTGGCAGCATTCCAAATTAATATAAGGATTCTGGATAATGTGACTCATTTCTGTCTTATAAATTCATGGAAGATGACTGTGTGGGTATATTTTGAAAAAAAAATATTGGATGAAGATAAAATAGAGAAGACTTTTTTTTTTTTTGCCCTCTTAGTGCTCATTATTCTAATTCAGTAATAAATAACTTTGTCAGGGTTGGCAAGTATCATGTGTTGGCTAATTCATAAATACCCAGAATGACAAGATTAGCCATCTCTGGTTGGTGATACTGGCTGTAGTGTACTGATTTGATTACTGGGTGCCCATATCTGTACCTTCTACTTAAATTCAAGTGCCACATTGCTGCTTATGCCTTCCAGTATCTCAATGACAGTATATCCAGAAACTAGTACATTCTGCCCAGCCAGGTAATGCTATCCTTCCACACCACCTAAATAATTGATGGGTGTGTAGCAAAGTTCTGTTCCCCTCCTGGACAGTTACCTTAGGGGCACCAGCCCATCTCCCTTGGTATCGTTGAAGACTAGATTACTATATCGGTGATCTTTCTCTTTATATCAGTTGGCTGCTTTGAGAAGCAGCTGCCAGACATAGAATTTAAAACAAAGAAAAAAAAAATCCACCAATATCCACTGGCCCCCTTAACAACTAAGGCATCTCACATCTGGGGTTTTAACCCCTAAAGCCCCTCCCCCTCCTGTCCTCCTACTCCCAGCATTGCCTATGGCTGGGACAGTTACACCAACAAAAAGAAGCATCAACATGTCTTGTGCCTCGGGCCTGGAAGCCTCTGAAGGCTGTCACAACAAACAGCTGCCTTCACCATGACCTGCATCAAACAACTATCAGGGCTATTTACTAAAGTGTGAATTGTTGGGAATGCAAAGTGAATTTCCTATTCAAGGCCAAAGTAGCTGAAATGGAAGTATGACTGATTTGGAGAATTTTTCCATTTCAACTATTTTGGCCTTCAATATGGAATTCCCGATAATTGTCACTTTTTGCAAAAACCCATAAATTCTGTACATTTGGGACACTGTTGTACTCGGGAGATGTTGCTGAACACATATTGGGATGTTTTTTGGCAGTAACCTTTAAAGTTCTAAGTAGAGTTGAGTGAACCCGGACTGTAAAGTTCGGGTTCGTACCGAACATTATGTTTTTTGGACCCTGGACCCGAACACTGACATATCACTGTATGTTCGGGTTGGAGTTCGGTGTTCGGCGATTTAATGGCGCGTTTTGAAAGACTGCAGGGTTGCCAATTAACAAGCGTTTGACTCGTGTGCCCTTAGAAGCCATCAAAGCCATGCCTACTAATGGCATGGCTGTGATTGGCCAGTGCAGCATGTGACCCAGCCTCTATATATAAGCTGGAGTCGCGTAGCGCCGCACGTAAAATTAGCTCTTATTAGTGTAGGGACAGGATGCTGCCGCTTTCAGGGAAAGATTAGGAAAGAATTCTGCAAACTAGTACATTAGTGGGGTGCACTTCATATCTGAGAGTCAAATACTGCTATCACATTGCAGTTTTAAAACTTAAAATTTTTTGGTTGCTAAAAAGTACATTAGTGGGGTGCACTTCATATGTGAGAGTCAAATCAAAGCGTCAAATAGTGCGCTTACAACGCAGTTGAAAAAATTCTTATTTTCTGGGTGCTAATCTGCTAAATAGTACATTTTGGGCCTGCTCTTCATATCTGAGAGTTAAAGAGAAGCGTCAAATAGTGCGCTTACAGCGCAGTTGTAAACATTCTAATTGTTTTGCTGCTAATCTTCTAAATAGTACATTTTGGGCATGCTCTTCATATCTGAGAGTCAAATAGAGGCGTCAAATACAAATATAACAATATTGTAATTCGGGGGCAATACTCTCACAAGTCAAACTGAGAGATCAGTTTATAGGGAAAACTGTTGCCTGGATACAATTCTAAAACAATTTCCATATGTCCTTTGCAGACTTTACATGCTGGAAAAACACAGGTGCCAACTGCTGTGGCTTTCTGCAGTGTGCAGACCGGCAATGAGGGCAGGGTTGAGGAGTGGGTGGAAGATGATGTGGAGGATGATGAGGTCCTAGACCCCACATGGAATCAAGGTCATGCGAGTGACATGTGCAATGTAGAAAAAACAACGAGGGAACCGGCTGATAATCTCTACAAAAGTAAATAGAGAAAATATAGTGTAATACAGTTTACAGTATAGACATTGCGCAAACTGAAATGCACTCACTGGATTTTGGACAAATTGAAGCTTGTAAGGTGCCTTCCCCGATAGTAGGGGGGGCTAGGGAAATCCCCTGGATATTTTCACTCCAACACAGGACTCCGGGTGAAGTTTGAAAAATTGGCTTTAATTCAATATTAAAATAAGTTTAAAAAAGAATAAAATAAATATAAATAAGGTCCTACGCGTTTCGTCCCTTTAACAAAATAGGGACTTCCTCAGGGACCACAATATTAAGAGACAATTTGATACAGTACAATCAAAAAACAGCCTAACAAATCCCCACCCGAAAAGTCCTTTAAATAGGGCTAATCCCTCATCTAAATTCAGTCACATGTTATCCTCAGACTCTCCTCATTGGTCCTCCATTAATAGGGTTCATCTGTTGCCGTTCGCGGCTCCAAGTGTTCACAGCTGATTTCGGAATTGTTCAATAATCCTCCGACAGCTGCCGGCACGGAAGTGCCATGCGTTCCAACTGCGTTCACTAAACCGGAAGTGGCATGCGTTCCAACCACGTTGACGGAACCGGAAGTAATATGCGTTCCAAACTCGTTGTTTTGCGTTCCATTTATAATCTGCAATATCTGGCCATAAAATACATGTAAATACTTCCACTCTTCCAATCAAAAGTCACTATTAATGTATTAATCTTATAATTCATACAAGAAATACTATGCTATTCACCATATAAATTCAATAACTAAACATAATCCACTCTAATATACCACATGAATGTGATTTAATAATATCAATTAATCCCATATTTTTATGAAAATGTGATTTATATTCATCAGTAAATTTGTAATAAATGCCAATAAATTCATCAATGTGCTACTTTTTGTGTCAATCATTATTTATTATCCTAAAAAATATTTTTTTTATTTATTTTTTTCCCTTTCTTTCCTCATTCTTCCTTTCTCTCCTCTCACCTTTTATATATACATATATGTAATGTATTACTTGATTTAATACTGAATAGTGAATCTTTTTGTTTAATACTAAATAGTGAATTACAATCATAAAAAACACACTAAATCCACTTCAACATTTAAACCTCCTGGTTCCAATGTCTGTAATTTATGGATCCAGTAGGTCTCACGTTGTGATAATTTTTTAACTCTATCACCCCCTCTCCAATCTGTTGTTACCCTCTCAATACCAATGCACTTAAATTTTGTAAAAGAAAATAGTGAACAATGATTACAGTGAACTGGGATAGAGTGGGTGGCCAAGTTCTTTTTGATATTATTGATATGTTCCATAAACCGAACTTTTAAAAATCTCTTTGTTCTGCCAACATATTGTTTGCCGCACGGACACTGCAGTAAATAAACTACATAATCCGTGCGGCAATGTATCTCGGTCTTAATGTGGAAAACCTCCCCTGTTGTAAAACTAGAGAATTTATCCGTACGTTCTAAATTAACAGTGTGACAAGCTTTGCAAGAATTACAACCCCTAAAAGAATTATTACCCATTGACTTATGACTGTCCTCATGATGTTTTAAGGCATAACTGGGTGCCAAAATATTTTTAAAATTTTGGTTTTTTCTAAAAATAAGTTTAGGCCGATCTGGTAAAACAGAATTCAATACAGGATCCTGTTGGAGAATCGACCAATGTTTTTGTAAACTTCTCCTAATTTTAACATGATTGGTACAGTATTGAGTTCTAAAAGTAATTGTATTATCCTGATGAGATTTAACACTAGGTTTGTCCATAAGGTAATTACCCCTGTCGGATTGTAAAGCCATACGGATTTCCCTATCCAATGTATTCTTTTTATAGCCTCTTTCAATCAATTTATCCCTAATGTGGCCAGATTGTGTAATAAAGTCATTGACTTGAGAGCAATTCCTTCTCACCCTAGCAAATTGGCCCTTGGCTATTCCTCTAAGCCAAGGGCGGTGATGGCAGAAATAATAATAACGTCATCAATATATCTCCGCCAGAGCACCAGGTTCTCCCTCCAGTCATGACCAGCCCAAATGGTAAGATCCTCCCATCTCCGCATATAGGTATTGGCATAACTGGGGGCGAACCTGGTGCCCATGGCGGTCCCCGTGATTTGTAAATAAAATTTATCATTAAAGAAAAAATAATTATGTTCTAAAATAAATTTAACTGAATGTAAGATAAACTCTTTGATATCCTTAGGTAAATGTTGGCCAATACCTATATGCGGAGATGGGAGGATCTTACCATTTGGGCTGGTCATGACTGGAGGGAGAACCTGGTGCTCTGGCGGAGATATATTGATGACGTTATTATTATTTGGAAGGGGTCATTTTCTACTTTTCAATGTTTTGAAAACTATTTAAATCAGAATAAATATAATTTAAAATTCACTTCTGTATGGCATCAGAATGAAATCAGTTTTTTGGATCTGTCCTTAATATGTGATAATGATTCCATAAAAACAAAGTGTTTCTTCAAACCCAGTGATGGCAATGGATATGTTCATCAGCAGAGTTGCCATCACCGCCCTTGGCTTAGAGGAATAGCCAAGGGCCAATTTGCTAGGGTGAGAAGGAATTGCTCTCAAGTCAATGACTTTATTACACAATCTGGCCACATTAGGGATAAATTGATTGAAAGAGGCTATAAAAAGAATACATTGGATAGGGAAATCCGTATGGCTTTACAATCCGACAGGGGTAATTACCTTATGGACAAACCTAGTGTTAAATCTCATCAGGATAATACAATTACTTTTAGAACTCAATACTGTACCAATCATGTTAAAATTAGGAGAAGTTTACAAAAACATTGGTCGATTCTCCAACAGGATCCTGTATTGAATTCTGTTTTACCAGATCGGCCTAAACTTATTTTTAGAAAAAAACAAAATTTTAAAAATATTTTGGCACCCAGTTATGCCTTAAAACATCATGAGGACAGTCATAAGTCAATGGGTAATAATTCTTTTAGGGGTTGTAATTCTTGCAAAGCTTGTCACTGTTAATTTAGAACGTACGGATAAATTCTCTAGTTTTACAACAGGGGAGGTTTTCCACATTAAGACCGAGATACATTGCCGCACGGATTATGTAGTTTATTTACTGCAGTGTCCGTGCGGCAAACAATATGTTGGCAGAACAAAGAGATTTTTAAAAGTTCGGTTTATGGAACATATCAATAATATCAAAAAGAACTTGGCCACCCACTCTATCCCAGTTCACTGTAATCATTGTTCACTATTTTCTTTTACAAAATTTAAGTGCATTGGTATTGAGAGGGTAACAACAGATTGGAGAGGGGGTGATAGAGTTAAAAAACTATCACAACGTGAGACCTAGTGGATCCATAAATTACAGACATTGGAACCAGGAGGTTTAAATGTTGAAGTGGATTTAGTGTGTTTTTTATGATTGTAATTCACTATTTAGTATTAAACAAAAAGATTCACTATTCAGTATTAAATCAAGTAATACATTACATATATGTATATATAAAAGGTGAGAGGAGAGAAAGGAAGAATGAGGAAAGAAAGGGAAAAATAAAAAGAAAAAAAAAAAAAAATTTTTTTAGGATAATAAATAATGATTGACACAAAAAGTAGCACATTGATGAATTTATTGGCATTTATTACAAATTTACTGATGAATATAAATCACATTTTCATAAAAATATGGGATTAATTGATATTATTAAATCACATTCATGTGGTATATTAGAGTGGATTATGTTTAGTTATTGAATTTATATGGTGAATAGCATAGTATTTCTTGTATGAATTATAAGATTAATACATTAATAGTGACTTTTGATTGGAAGAGTGGAAGTATTTACATGTATTTTATGGCCAGATATTGCAGATTATAAATGGAACGCAAAACAACGAGTTTGGAACGCATATTACTTCCGGTTCCGTCAACGTGGTTGGAACGCATGCCACTTCCGGTTTAGTGAACGCAGTTGGAACGCATGGCACTTCCGTGCCGGCAGCTGTCGGAGGATTATTGAACAATTCCGAAATCAGCTGTGAACACTTGGAGCCGCGATCGGCAACAGATGAACCCTATTAATGGAGGACCAATGAGGAGAGTCTGAGGATAACATGTGACTGAATTTAGATGAGGGATTAGCCCTATTTAAAGGACTTTTCGGGTGGGGATTTGTTAGGCTGTTTTTTGATTGTACTGTATCAAATTGTCTCTTAATATTGTGGTCCCTGAGGAAGTCCCTATTTTGTTAAAGGGACGAAACGCGTAGGACCTTATTTATATTTATTTTATTCTTTTTTAAACTTATTTTAATATTGAATTAAAGCCAATTTTTCAAACTTCACCCGGAGTCCTGTGTTGGAGTGAAAATATCCAGGGGATTTCCCTAGCCCCCCCTACTATCGGGGAAGGCACCTTACAAGCTTCAATTTGTCCAAAATCCAGTGAGTGCATTTCAATTTGCGCAATGTCTATACTGTAAACTGTATTACACTATATTTTCTCTATTTACTTTTGTAGAGATTATCAGCCGGTTCCCTCGTTGTTTTTTCTACTTTTTGCTGTCAAGTTGATCGCTAGCTGGGAAGCGATCTGAGGGAGGCTGTATTCATCTTCGTTTGATAAGTATCTTTTGCATATATATTAAGGTGTATAAGGTACAATATTGTTGGTTGTTTTTTAGAGTGACATGTGCAGTTTGGAGGAAGAGGCACCAGCACAGCATAAGAGGGAGCAGGGTGCAAAAGCGGAGCGGCTGTCCCCTAGCACTCATCGGCATGTATTATCTTTAGAATTCCCACAGTTATCCAAGTAACAGATGGAGCGATAAAAGGAACCATAACAGATTTAACGAGCCATTCGCAGTATCGCAGTCCGGTGACCGGGACCCAGACACTGTCTGGGCGGCGGTCAGACGACCGGGACCCAGTATGCCTGATGTTGAAGTTAGGAGTCATAGTGTGGAATGGATTAGCAGGGTCTGGTGCAGGGTAACCGCACGCCCCCTGGTGTTGAGCACCAGCGTTTGTGCGGCCACATACTATGACCCTGATGCAGCTTCAGTAAAAAGAGTACTGGATACCATAATCCATCACCAGACTGATCTGCAACTTGGAACAGGATGTGAATTTCACTGTATCGGCTGTGCGCGCTTTCAGTGTTCTCACCCTGCTGCTGCTCGCCTGTCTGTGCTGCAGCGTAACTTTGGCCTTCCCGCTCACCGCCTCATATGCGACGTGCCCACAAGGTGGAACTCCACCTTGCACATGCTGGAGAGACTGTGCGAGCAGCAGCAGGCGATAGTGGAGTTTCAGCTGCAGCACGCATGGGTCAGTGGCTCTGCACCAGACTTGCCCTCCAATTGATCAGAGTTAAAGGATTTCAAGTGGACTCATTACAATTACAGGGCCTCTAAAGAGTCCTATATTGTTATTTGTCGTTACTACCTGCCTGCGTTGGGAGTGGGTCATTTGCGCGCCTGTTGCCTTCCTTGCATGTGGTAGCCATTTTTCAGGGTCCCTGAATGGAATCTAACCCTGATAACCCGTTATATGTGGTCACCATGGTAGGCGCAGTAAATGGCATTGAAAGTTGATATGGATTGACATACGAATGCATCTTCGCCTTGTTGTTGGGGAGCACATTGAAAAAGTGCTCTAGGGTGACGAGCTGGGTGATCTCGTCTGGGAACTTGGCTTGATGGGAGTTGAGCCATTTCTGGGTGGCCCTTGTGATGCCACGGTGTATACCCAGATATATCAGAGCTGCTGCAGAAAGTGCGGGCCGTCAGTGCGCGCTTTCAGCATTCTCACCCTGCTGCTGCTCGCTTGTCTGTGCTGCAGTGCAACTTCGGCCTTCCCGCTCACCGCCTCATGAAACTGTGCGAGCAGCAGCAGGCGATAGTGGAGTTTCAGATGCAGCACGCAGGGGTCAGTCGCTCTGCGGAACAGTTTCGTTTTTTTTTTTATATGTCCCAATATTTTGGGGGCTACCCCAATAAAAAAATAAATAAAAAATAAATAAATAAATAATAAAAAAAATAAATAAATATATATATATATATATATATATATATATATATATATATATATATATATATATATATATATATATATACAGACTTGAAAAAAGTCCCTAGTGGACTGAAACATCGACACTATGTAATCAACTTTTGAAGCTTGAATAAATGGCACATTTTTGGCAACAAATGGCAAATTTTTGGCAACAGTATCAAGTCCTGTGAGTGCACTTCCAACAAGTTATTTTATATTTTGAAGTCGGAGTGGCCCCCAGGCAATAAACAAGACTGGGAGCAGGAGTGCGGGACCCAGCATGAATTATATATATATAAAGTGTTGGCCACTTCCTCCTCTATGTACACAATAGCAGAGGCTTGTGAAGGCCTTTTCTCCATGCATCAGGAGTTGAGCATCTCTCTATACATCAGGACTGCAAGAAATGCAACGCAGACTGCAAATGTTTCTTTTTTTTTTTATATATATATATGTCCCATTATTTTGGGGGCTACCCCAATTTAAATAAAAAAAAAAAAAAATTATATATAAAACCGTGTTGGCTACCACCTCCTCCTCCACCGCTGCTTCCACCTACACCGCTACGGTCACCGCCTCCTCAACCTATGGGTCACTTCGTATAAACTATGTACACAATAGCAGAGGCTTGTGAAGGCCTTTTTTCTATGCATCAGGAGTTGAGCTCAGTTTGAACAATGAAAGAGAATACCCTGCACTCCAACCGTCTCTCAAATGGGTAATTCTGGTGATCCTCCTGACAGCCATGCTTTAGATTTTGATTTATGTTCTTCCAAAGCTAAAATCAAAGATTCCATCTAGTCAGGGCCGGCGCCACCTGTAAGGCGACCTAGGCAGCCGCCTAGGGCGCACCTTAGCAGGGGGCGCCGGATCCCTGCGCCCGGCGGCTCCTCATGCTGCACCGCCTGAGCGCTTTAGCAAGCCCCAGGCGGCGCGGCATTGCTGTGTGGAGGGCGGCCAGGTTTGTGACCGGCAGGAGGGAGGCGCAGAGCGCTCCCTCCTGCCGGTCTCTCAATGTAGCGTGGCCGGGCGGCGCGGAACGCGGGACAGGAACCTCTGTTTCCTGTACCCGGCCGCCGGCGGAATGACAGGAAGTGCTCACTGAGTGAGCACTTCCCTTCAGTCCGCCGGCGGCCGGGAACAGGAAACAGAGGTTCCTGTCCCGCGTTCTGCGCCGCCCGGCCACGCTACATAGGCAGGAGGGGGTAAGGACCATTAGGGGTGGGGGGAGTGGGGAGGGAGCAAGGACCATTAGGGGTGGGGGGAGTGAGGGAGCAAGGACCATTAGGGGAGTGGGGAGGGAGCAAGGACCATTGGGGAGGGGTGAGGCGGACCGCCTACTGGGGGTGGGGGAGTGGGAGGAGCAAGGGCCAATAGGGGTGGGGGAGGAGCAAGACCACATTAGGGAGGGGGGAGTGGGGAGGAGCAAGGACCATTAGGGTGGGGGAGGAGTAAGGACCGTTAGGGGTAGGGGGGAGGGAGTAAGGACCATTAGGGAGGGGGGAGGAGGGACTAAGGACCAGGGAGGGGGGGGGAGTGGGGGAGGGAGCAAGGACCATTAGGGGTGGGGGAGGACCATTAGGTGGCCAATCCATTTAGGGGAGGGAGATGAGGGGGAGTGGGAGGGAGCAAGGAACTACTAGGGGTGGGGGGGAGGCGACCATTAGGGTGGGGGGGAGCAAGGACCACAGAGGAGGGGAGGGGGGGAGGGAGGGAGCAAGGACCACTAGGGGTGGGGAGCGAGCAAAGGAATCCATTAGGGAGGGGGGGAGGCAAGGACCATTAGTATTGGGGAGTGGGGAGCAAGGACCATGGGGAGTGGGGAGTAAGGACCAAATAGGAGCGGGGGGAGTAAGGACCACTAAGGGGGAGAAGGACCACCAAAGGGGGGTAAGGAGGGAGGACCACTAAGGAGAGGGGAGGAGGGTAAGGACCACTAAGGGGGGGGGAGATTACCACTAAGGGGTGGGGGGAGGAGGGGAAGGTCTACTAAGGGGTTTGGGAGAGGGAGGACCACTAAGGGAAGGGATGGAGGACCACTAAGGGAGAGAGGGGGGAGTGAGAAGACCACCAAGGGGGGACTGCAGAGGGACAGGGGGCCAATGGAGAGCACTAAGGGACAGAAGGGGTAGAACACGGAGGGACAGGAGGGAAGGGGAAATCAATAATTGACAGGAGGGGAGAGCACTATGAATTTTTTTTTAAAAAATAAAGAGCTGTTCCCCTCTCAGTCCCTATCCTACCCCACAAACCCTCTCTGTCCCTATCCTACCCCACAAACCCTCTCTTTTACACTACACACAAACACAATGCATTCCCCCCCCCCTACACACACAGAAACATACAATGCATTCCTACTCACACACAGACATACCCGAAACACACAATGCATCCCTTACGTTCACACAAACACTCATTCTCTTACACACAGAAACAAAATGCATCTCTTACACAATCAATGCACCCCTTACAGACACACACTGCATTCAATTACATACACAGAAACACACCTTGCACCCCTTATACACACAGAAACATACAATGCATTCCTTACGCGTAAACACACACTGCATCCCCTATAAACACACTACATCCCTTATACAAATTGGTATCCCTATACACTACATTCTATAAGAACACACACACATTGCATCCTCTACAATAACACATAAAACATCCCTTACACACATACACTACACTTCCTGTGAGAGAACTCATGGGTGGGCCATGTAGGTATTTATGGGTGGGCATTGTAGGCATACTCATGGTCAAGCCCTGGGGGCCCAGACCTTGAGCTGTGTAAGGGGCCCTAAAAAATGGAGCTGCTTCCTGTTCGTTAATTGTTGTGAGCACTGTTAAAAACAGTCTCCAGAGAGCCTCTTCTACACCAGACCTGTGGAGCCAGACTGAGCCCATCATCAGCCTCTTGTCCTCATCTGGTGGTAAGTAGGCAATCCAATATATTATTAGTGGCACTAATCTCTAATTTACCTCACATTAAATTGGATACTATAGTCACCAGAAGCACTACAGCATAATGTAGTGGTTCTGGTGTCTATAGCCTGTGCCTGTAGGCTTTTTAATGTAAACACACTGTCTTTTCAGATAAAAGACACTTTGTGAAGACTGGCGTTGGCCCATATGGGCGGGGCATTGTGATGTTACATGGTGGGCAGGACATGGGGGTGGGGGCGGCAAATTTTTATTTGCCTAGGGCGGCAAAAATCCTTGCACCGGCCCTGCATCTAGTGCTATTTTATGGCTCAGCTGTATTTTTTATTTTTATGTTATTTTAAGTGATTTCCTTATCCACATTTGTTTGCAGGGCACTTGTCCTACTCTTATCCCCATTTTACTTCCTTTTGCAGCCCTCTAGCCCTTTCCAGGACTTTTTTAGAGGCATTTTAGTGCCCAAACATTCGGGTCCCCATTGACTTCAATGGGGTTCGGGCTCAAGTTCAAACCCGGACTTGTTTTTCAAAGTTCTGCCGAACCCGCCGGACCCGAACATCCAGGTGTCCACTCAACTCTAGTTCTAAGTACATTTATTCTTAAATTACTATGTGTGTCAAAAATAAATAAATCACTAATTATAATTATTTTTTTAATTTGGCATAGATTGGTGGTAAAATGGTTGCATGAAAAGAATCAAAATACCTTAGGTTGTCTTCTTTTAAAAAATATATACATGTGAAGGGATATTCAGGGATTCCTGACAGATGTCAGCATTACAATGTAACTTGCGTTCATTTTGAGAAAAAAAAATGGTTTGCAAATAGCTACTTGTACTTATGGCCCTATAACTTTCCAAAAAAAAAGCTAAGAACATGTTAACATTGGGTATTTCTAAACTCAGGACAAAATTTAGAAACTATTTGCATGGGTGATTTTTGGCGGTTGTAGATGCGTAACAGATTTTAGGGGTCAAAGTTAGAAAAAGTGTTTTGTTTTTTACAATTTTTTTTTCATATTTTATTAACCCCTTAAGGACACAGCTTCAGAAGCTTGACTTACGCTTAATGACACAAGCAATTTTTGCATTTTCTTGCTGTTTGCGTTCAACTGCAATTTGCATCTCTCTCATTTATTGCACCGACACATATTATATACTGTTTTTAAAGGACAGAAAGGGCTTTAATTTGATATAACATATATATATATAAATGCTTACTTATTATAAAAAAAATACAGAAAAATGCAAAAAAAATGAAAAATATTGTTTTTTTTTACAGTTTTTGCAATAATAATGTGTGCATAATTAGTGCAGGTTAAGGAAAGTAATTAAAAATAAATTTATTTATTTGTTCTGATTTACAGAATATATAATGTGTCTGGGATTTTAAGTTTTTTTTGGTAGTTACAGGTCACAAAGCACAAGGAGTAAAATAAACTTTTAATGTGGAGCGATTTTAGAATTTGGTATGTTTGTCTTGTAAGCTTAATAGCCATAAAAGAAAACAAAATTGCCACACAAAAGTATATATTTATATAAAGTAGACATCACGGGCTATTTACCTAAGGTTGTTTTGACACTTTCTACGTAGCCATTTCACCGCCAACCTCTGCTAAATATTGGAGTAAAATTGTGTTCTTTTTGGTTTTTGGCACACAAACTTATAACAGAGAAATTCTCGTGTATATTTTGTAAAGTTGGTGTGTGCTATTCCTGTACAAAGTTTTATTTTGTGTTCAGTTACATCTGCTGAGTAAAATGACACCCCCATTGTATGTCTTTTGCACTATTTCGTGAAGTTACAGTGCCATACAGGATACCTGTCCTTTTCAGTATTCACAGTAGAATTTTGAGAGATGAATTTAATGAGCCTTAGCTTCCATTTGGGGTATTATAACAGTTTGACTGTTCAAAAAACCCCCACAAAGGCCTACCATTTGTAAAAGTAGACACTCCAGGGTATCTTATAAGGTGCATATTGTGCCTTAACATGCCCCATTTTTTCACCAATATATGCCAAAGTATGTGGTAAAAAATAATTTTGTGCATTTTTTACATACGGATTGCATTTTTGCTGGGCGTTTTGTATATTTCATATGTGCCACTAAGTTCAAACCCCCAAATTATGCTCAGCTAAGTCTTCTGAGTAAAATGACACCCCATATGAATGTCTTTGGCACTATTTCGTGAAGCTACAGTGCTATATAGGAGACCTGTCCTTTACAGTATTCACAGTAGAATTTTGAGAGATGGATTTAATGAGCCTTAGCTTCCATTTGGGGTATTATAACAGTTTGACTGTTCAAAAAAAAACCCACAAAGGCCTACCATTTGTAAAAGTAGACACTCCAGGGTATCTCATAAGGTGCATATTGTGCCTTAACATACCCCCATTTTTTCACCAATATATGCCAAAGTATGTGGTAAAAAAATTATTTTGTGCATTTTTTACATACGGATTGCATTTTTGCTGGGCGCTTTGTATATTTCATATGTGCCACTAAGTTCAAACCTCCCAAATTATGCTCAGCTAAGTCTTTTGAGTAAAAATACACCCCCAATGAATGTCTTTGTCACTATTTTGTGAAGCTACAGTGCCATATAGGAGACCAAGCCATATCCGTTTTTACCAAACTTTGAATTTTGACGCTGGGCCTATGTGCAATTTCCAAGCATCTTCGCAGGTTTTAAATTCAAACTACCCCACAAAGGCCTACCATTTCTTAAAGTAGACACCCCAGGGTGTTTCAAAAGGTATAGTTTGAACCTTAGCGTGGGATCATTTTTCCGCTAGCTTGTACCAGATGTAGTGGTAATAAGCGTTTTTTCTGCCTTTTTGACATACAAAGTGAGTTTGCACAGTATATTTTGCAAACCTTATGTGTGCTACGACTGTATAATACTTCATATGTTGCTCAGCTATGTCGGCTGAGTACAGCAATACCCCCGTATGTACCTTTGCCAGGTATGTGTGGACATCGGAGGGGCACATTTGGGACACAGCCATTCCAGTTTTTTTCAAACTTTGAATTTTATGCTGTGCCTATGTCCCATTTTAGAGTATTTTACCAGGCTATATAATCCAAATTCCCCATAAAGCCATACCATTTCTTAAAGAAGACATCCCAGGGTATTTCAAAAGGCATATTTTGAACCTTAGCGTGGGATCATTTTTCCGCTAGCTTGTACCAAGTGTAGTGGTAATAAGCATTTTTTCTGCCTTTTTGACATACAAAGTGAGTTTGCGCAGCATATTTTGCAAACCTTATGTGTGCTATGACTGTATAATACTTCATATGTTGCTCAGCTATGTCGGCTGAGTACAGCAATACCCCCGTATGTACCTTTGCCAGGTATATGTGGATGTTGAAGGGGCGCATTTGAGACGCAGCCATTCAGTTTTTTTCTAACTTTGAAGTTTTACGCTGTGTCCATGTTCCAATTTGGAGTAGTTTAGACGGTTGGTTATTGAAACTTCCCCACAAACACATACTATTTATTAAAGAATACACCCTGGGGTAATTCAAAAGGCATATTTTGAACCTTGGCGTGGGATAATTTTTTCTCTAGTTTGCTCCAGGTGTAGTGGTAATGAGCGTTTTTAAAATGTATTTTTTTACTTTTTATAACTTTTTTACTTTTAAAAACTAGTTTTTAAACTTTTGTTTTGCTTATAAATTTTTTTTAAACTTTCCTAAACTTTCTTAAAACTTTTTTACAGATTTAACATTTTTCTAAGCTTTTTTTTTACCGTTAACCCCTAACTAGCAGTACGCAGCAGTAACAGTAAATTCCCCATTTTCCCATAACTCCCACCCACCCCAGCTAGCAAAATATATAGTTATAAAATATTTAAATTAATTAAATAAATTGAACCCCTGAGGGTTAAAAAAATAAATAAAAGTTAATCCTCAGGGGTTAAAAAAAATTAGATCACAGTATAATACTGTGATCTCTATTTGATCGCTGTAGGCAGTGATCGACTGGCAGGGAAGGGGTTAATTTTTATTTGGACTAGGTAAAGTGTGTTTTTTTTGTTTTTTTTACTTAAATGTTATTAAAACATTTTTTTAAGCTTAATTTTTAACTTTTTAAAGTTTCTTTTAAAACTTTTTTTAACGTTAACCCCTAGTTAGCCTAACGCCAAATCCCCCAATTCCCCACTAACTTCCACCTACCCCAGCTAGCTAAATATATAATTAAAAAATAATTTAATTAATTAATTTAATTAATTTAACCCCTGAGGGTTAAAAAAAAAAGAATTAACCCTCAGGGGTTAAAAAAAAAAATCAGATCATAGTAAAATGTAATCCCTGCCAATTGATCACTGTAGTCAGTGATCAATTGGCAGGGAAGGGGTTAATTTTTTATTAAAATGGGTAAGGGGGGGGGACTTTAAATAAACTTTATTTTTTTTTTACAGCAGGGGGCAGGATCAGCACTGATCCGGCTCCCTGCACTTCACACAGAACCCGGAAGTGCAGGAAGCCGGTAGGTGAGTATAGAGAGCACATGTGCTCGCTCAGACTTGCGGTCAGAGTGAGCACATGTGCTGGGCAGACTGACCGGGTGCTCCCGGTATGCCTCTAATGCAGAGGCATACCGGGAGCACCATTAACCCCGCGATCGCCGCGATAGCGGCGATCCGGGGTTAATTTTACCGCGTGACGGACGAGGTCCGTCACCCGTCGTTAAGGGTCTCCCCTGTGTGACGGACCTTGTCAGTCACCCGTCCTGAAGGGGTTAAAAAAACTTTTTAGTGAATGATATGATGAAAATAATGGTATCTTTAGAAAGACCATTTAATGGTGAGAAAAACGGTATAATATGTGTGGGTACAGTAAATGAGTAAGAGGAAAATTACAGCTAAACAAACACCGCAGAAATGTAAAAATAGCCATGGGCTCAAACAGTAAGAAAATTGAAAAGTGGTCTGGTCACTAAGGGGTTAAGCTCATCCACAGTGTTAACCTCTACCACTTCAGCTGGAAGGCTATTCCATGCATCCACTACGCTCTCAGTAAAGTAATACTTCCTGATATTATTTTTAAACCTTTGTCCCTCTAATTTAAGACTATGTTCTCTTGTTGTGGTAGTTTTTCTTCTTTTAAATATAGTCTCCTCCTTTACTGTGTTGATTCCCTTTATATATTTAAATGTTTCTATCATATCTCCCCCTGTCTCGTCTTTCCTCCCAAGCTATACATGTTAAGATCCTTTAACCTCTCCTGGTAAATTTTATCCTGCAATCCATGAACCAGTTTAGTAGCCCTTCTCTGAACTCTCTCTAAAGTATCAATATCCTTCTGGAGTACTGTGTACAATACTCCAAGTGAGGTCTCACCAGTGTTCTGTACAATGGCATGAGCACTTCCCTCTTTCTACTGCTAATACCTCTCCCTATACAACCAAGCATTCTGCTAGCATTTCCTGCTGCTCTATCACATTGTCTGCCTACCTTTAAGTCATCAGAAATAATCACCCCTAAATCCCTTTCCTCAGATGTTGAGGTTAGGACTGTATCAAATATTCGGTACTCTGCCCTTGGGTATTTACGATCAAGATACATTATCTTGCACTTATCCTCATTAAATGTCAGCTGCCACAACTCTGACCATTTTTCTAGTTTTTCACCCATTTTATTGCAACATATAGAAAAAGAAACTATAATGGCCAAACTGTCATCTGTTGTCTATGAATTAACTGTCCAATACAATTTCCAGCTGGCTTCTAGCCTTCCAAGGTCCATAAAACGAGTTCCATTGAGTTGGGTAATACAGCTGGACAATACAACTGTGTAAAAATGATTTCTAATTATTAGAACTATTAGATCAGTGGAATTTGGCATGGATGCCAGTGGCTCCTATTCTCAACAGTACAAAATAAAGTTTGTCTGAATAAGTATTTAGCAGTGTTAACAGATAACATCTGTGTACATTCCTTGCTGATCCTATGGAGCTCAGGTTTGCCTATGCAACTCATGGTTTGTCTTAACATCAAAAGGGCTCAGACTGACAGCCACTAATGGAACTTCCTCTTTAAAGACCTGTGATTTTCAAAAAGTCTTCCTGACCTCATGCACAGAAATCTATGAGAAGCACTGGATTAGACAAAACTAATTTCAACTGACATCGGAGGAACAGCTTAGAAGAAAACTGCCCAGGTGTTGGAATAAAGATTTTATAATGAATTTTTATTTTTCTAAAAAAATAAATAAAAAAAAAAGAGATGGAGGTGTCAGGGGGATGACTCCAGAAATATGACCTTAGAAGGGATCACTTTCTGATCGTATAAAGATATTTGTTTGCTACATTCAAATGTTCCTATAAATCTATTTAGTATATATTTTGTCTTTTGGTAGTTTGGATATTTCATTTTCTTGAAACTTCCATTTATTATGTTTGTATTTTTCACTCTATGCAAAATGTTGGGTAAATAATTAAGGGTAAGAGTAAGCAAGAATTAACACATTGTTGGTTATAATTTTATTCTATTTGATGCTCTGTGCATCACCATACAACAGCCACATAATGCTTACCCTAAATACTCGAGTATAAGTCGACCCGAATATAAGTCGAGACCCCTAATTTTACCCCCAAAAACTGGGAAAACGTATTGACTAGAGTATAAGACTAGGATGGGAAATGCAGCAGCTACTGGTAAATTTCTAAATAAAATTAGATCCCCCAAAAATCATATTGATTGAATATTTATTCACAGTGTGTGTATATAATGAATGCAGTGTGTGTATGTGATGCAGAGCCTTGGTGGGGGGTGGGCATTTTTATTGTAATATATTTTTTATATTAATATTTTTATTTTATTTTGTATTATTTACATTTTTATTTATTTATTTTCATCCCCCTCTCCCACCCCCGCATGATACATGGGCAGGGAGGAGGTCTCTCATTCCCTGGTGGTCCAGTTGATGGGCTGTGTAGGAGCGGGGCTGGCAGCGAACTGTAACTTACCTTTCCTGCAGCTCCTGTCAGCTCCCTTCTCCTCCGGTCCGGTCAGCTCCACTGCAAGTCTCGCGAGAGCCGCGGGGTCAGAGCGTTGCCAGGGCTTACCATGGCAACGCTCTGCGCGGCACTCACACCGCAAGACTTGCAGTGGAGCTGACCGGACCGGAGGAGAAGGGAGCTGACAGGAGCTGCAGGAAAGGGAAGCTGCAGCTTGCTGCCAGCCCCCAACAGGACCACCAGGCTTGTAATGAGCCCAGCGGTCCTGGTCTGTATTATGGCAATATAAATTGCCATAATACAGACCTTGACTCGAGTATTAGACGAGTGGGGGTTTTTCAGCACAAAAAACGTGCCGAAAATCTTGTCTTATACTCGAGTATATACGGTATTCTTGTGATTCTTTTCAAATAGTTTTTATTGAAATTTTAAAGTTTTATAACAAAAATAATAAATAGCAAAGCATTCTATATTGGGAGAAAGGAAACGGAAACATGTGGAAGGAAAAAAGGGGAAACGAGGGATCCATCCATAATAACAATGAGCATAATGTTGCAACTACATTCCATTGTGTAACATATATTTGTGTTCGGGGCCATTTCAGTAATGGAAATGAAATAGAGATTAAGTCATCTACGTTTAATAAGCAAAGTTAGTTGAGGTGTGCCGATACCGACGTTTGTGCAATAGGCCTGTAAATAAGTGGGCAAAAGGAATACCAATCTTGTTTTACAAAAGATGTTTATTACGAAACCACATGACATCACACCAACATATTTATGAGGACATCTTGACAAATGCCTTTCTTATCTCCTGTATCGATTGAGGTATATAAACAGCATAAGCTGACGACTTCCAGTGGCCTAATGTTTTGATCACATGTACTGGAATGTCTTGGCTTGAGGCAGTGGATGCTGCCCCTATCCTGAATGAGTGCCCTGAATATTTGGTGACATTCAAGCTGAGTTGTGTCAATAATAAACGTGTGTATATATATACCATTAATTCAGACGTGGTAAGGGTAGCGCTGGGAAGTGACAGGAGAGGGAGTGAGGCGTGAGCGGGTGCTGAAAGTAGGTATGTGTCAAACTTTCACCAGGCACAATGAATTGTCAGTGGGGTCAGGGACGTATTAGCCGTGAGGCAAACAAGGCATTTGCCTTGGGGCGGCATTTCCAGGGCAAATGTCTGGTTAGCCTTGCGGCTAACAGTCCAGGCAAGTGGGCGGGCGTATTCCGGCTCCCGCCACCACTCTGCGGCGCGCGAGGTAACTGAGCGGAGCACTCAGGGGAAAGTACTCCCTCGCCAGCGCCGCCTGACCGACCAGCAGCCCCACTAGACCCCAGGGAGAGGGAGAACCTCCTCCAGCATTCCCAAAGGTAAGGAGGCTGGGGGGTTAAATAAAAAAAAAAGTGAGTGAGTGTGTGTCTGTTAGTGAGTGTGTGTCTGTTAGTGAGTGTGTGTGTGTCTGTTAGTGAGTGTGTGTGTGTCTGTTAGTGAATGTGTGTGTGTCTGTTAGCTAGTGTATGCGTATCTGTCAGTGAATGTGTGTGTATTTAGAAGGCGGGGGAGGGGTTGGGTGGCGCTGGTGCGGGGGCATCTGAGTTTTGTCCTGCCTAGTGCAGCACAAAACCAGGATACACCACTGGGTGGGGTAGTAATGTATAAGAACTGTTTGACCCATCTGAATAGTCTTAGTTGAGGGTAAGCTCAGCACATAATGGTCTTGTTGTTTGTAAAGCTTTGAGTTTTGAAGGCAATTTTTACCATCGTGTTGCCCCATGATAGTGAACTCATGGTCTGAGAAAGCCATAGAAAGCCAAGTATATGGCTGTTTTGATAATGGAGTTTGTATGTGGTTCAAAAGGTGCTGTATCCAGTAAGCCTGAAATACGCTTGAACAGATGTATGTCGATAGGCATTGATCCCAACTAAATTGAAGTTGTACAAATAAACTAGAACTTTGTCTATATGACATTTCATGCATTTTGTTTTCCAAAACCAAATTAAAAATTTCTGTGAGTGTGGGAGAATTAGATGATTTCCAGTAACGTGGTAAGCAAGATGTAGCAGCAATTAAAATGTGGCCTATGATTTTTTTATCTATTTTGGATATTGACTCCGGGAATCGTTTAATGCTATTTCTGATGTTAGAGTACTGATGGATGAGTCCACTTTCATGATTAATCTATGAATTATTTTCCAGTATTCAGTCAATTTAGGGCAAAACCACCAAACATGCGCCATTTTACCCACACCTCCGCAGTCTCTCCAGCACCGGTCAGAGTATCTATCATTCATATTGTGTAGCCGGGAGGTAGCAAGATACTAGAGATGTCGCGAACTGCTCGCCGAACTGTTCGCGAACTGTCCGCCGGCGAACAATAGCGTGTTCGCGTTGAGCAAACATATACGATTTCTGGTCCGCCCCCTATTCGTCATCATTGAGTAAACTTTGACCCGGAACCTCACAGTCAGCAGACACTTCCTGGGAGGGAGGGTCTGCTGCTAATTGGCTGGAATGTGTCTGCTGACTGTGAGGTTCCGGGTCAAAGTTTACTCAATGATGACGAATAGGGGGCGGACCGGAAATCGTATATGTTCGCCCAACGCGAACACACTATTGTTCGCCGGCGGACAGTTCGCGAACAGTTCGGCGAGCAGTTCGCGACATCTCTACAAGATACCATCGATCTAGGATCTTATAGTGATTCTCAAAATGGTTTGTGCAATACGTAATACCTGTAAGAGCTGTAAAAAAGTTGAACCATTCCTCTAGACTATATTGCGTGCCCAGCTCCTTCTCCCATGATAACATGTGTCCTAATTTACAAGAGGGTTTCGGTGTTATATAATGAATAACATAAAGACAGTAGCCCTTTACGTCCCGGGTCCTGTAAAAATAATTTTTCTAGTATTCTTGTGATTCTGTTGTGAATAGCAAAACATGCATGCCAAGGACCAATCCCTCCTGTGCTGCTTAGCTGTAAAACATAGGTGGCAGATCGCTGTATGTAGAATTTAAATGGTGGCAAATATCTACAGGTCTTTTAACGTGCATATTTTGCAATTCTCTTTTTGATTTGACTTCTCTAACTATTGAGTTAGCTGCTGTCACAAAGCCAACTTGGAATTTCCTTTCTTTTAAAAATGTCCTATTTTACGATTTTAGGAAGGGCTTTGGTGATAATTAGAAAATACTACTGCACTGAGATTGTAAATTTAAAGTTGAAGGACGCCCACCTACTGTCAAGCTGGAAATGAACGTGGGGAAAATTATTGAAAATATGGCACATAGAAATTTGTCGATACAAGACACTGCAGTGACGAAGTTATAAGAAAAAAAGTGCATACAGAGAATCCATTTTAGATGAAAACCCTTCGCTGAGACTTTGATGGATTCTAACATCATAGAATTGCTAGAACCATTGGCAAACTGACACAATTTTGGGAGCCTCTAGCGAGGCTGTCGGGAGCATTCAGTCGGTTTCCATGCTGACTGCTCAACTTTTTGCACTTTGCCAGAAAGTTTCACTGTCGCATTTCAGACTTCATTTTCTTTGCTCCTAAGACCTATTTTTTTCATGGTACCATGTTACTTGTTCGAAATTTATTAAGCAGAAACCAAGCACACTTAAACTTGGATGGCTTCATAGGTTGCATTGTAACCAGGTTTTATGAAACAAATTGCCGTTTATTTTTCCAGCTACTTGTCTGTGCTACTGAGTCACTGACACTGTTTTTATTTTTATTGACCACATGGAAAAATATTACGTAAAGTCAACAAAAAACATGCAGTGCAAGAGAAAACATGTTGAAAAGCAATCTAGTGAGCCCGTCTGTGTCTCTGATTAACCAGGACATGTAGCTATTTTTCCTAGCACTCAAACCACAACGAAGGGAAGGCAAAAATTAGACTTTTAGGAAAGAACCAGGGCCAGATTAAAGGGACAGCCCGTACACTTTAGTTTGCTTAAATTCTATGTGGGTAGAGGGTGTCCTATTTTTTTTTTTTTTCATTTAACAAAAATTTTAGATTTTAATAGAACCTAGTGATACCGGAGAAACTGACGGAAGCAAAGCACAGAGAGATGGACACAGGTTTCTTCAGGAAGGAAGAGATTCTTTATTGGATCACCGATCGGGACTCAGAGGGACTAATGTCACCAAAAATACAGCAAGTTCTGAGCCCTGAACAATAGTGCAGGCTCCCTATATAGGCACATAACTCCTCCCATATTAAGCTCCACCCGCACATTCTCTTGACCAATCATTACAAATAAGAATTAACTTCCTGCTTGACCGCATGGCTTGTCCAGCACAATGGAGGAGGGGAATACTACATCCTGTATTCTTGCACATGCTCCGTACACTACTGATCGTATCTTGCCTCGTGCAACCAACTGATCGATACGTCAGCATATGCACGTACACATGCCACGTGGTAATCTCGGCCTACTAAATTTATTTTTACCGAGATTCCACCACACTAGTACTTTTATATAATTTACCCTGTTGCAACTTGTCACACCAGGGCTCATGTCAGAAGGTTTACAACATTAATTCATAATTTGAAGCTGTGACTTTAACCAGCGCTGCTCTGCAAGGTGTGATATGTTGCACATAAGTTGCCTCTAAGTTTAGCTTCAAAATAAACTAACTGGCTAATCTACCAGATACTTGTTTCCCCTCATAAATGGTGTTTCTTTGGATAGGACACTGGAAGACAATATTCTTCTGACTGGTAACTGGCCCATTAATGATGATCATGCTTCCTTTTGTGCATATTCAGAACGGGGAAAGTGCAAAAGGATTTAAATAGGGCCAGGGCAACCTAAGCCGTTTGGAAGGATAGGTGAAGTCTGCGGTACTTGGTTATAAGTAGGAAGTGTCACATATCTATGGAATTGATACATTGCTTCACTACTTGTCACATGCTGTTTCTTTATGACGTTGTACAGAAGAAATAATGTATGGGAAACTTATCTATGGTATTTGTTTTTTACCTAAAATTGTTGTGACAGCCATTTTTAAACGCTCAGAATACATGTTAACCAAGGTTCAAGGAAGGAGGAATATGAGTGCAGTTTTTTTTCTTATCATTCTGAAACTGAAGGAGTTTTCACAATGAATGTCAGAGGAAATATCTCTGTCTTGGGATATGTGAACTTTAGCAGCAGCCTCGGGAGATCAGGAAGCCTTTTTTTCACGTAGGAAGGATAAACATTGGGCTGAACGCAGGCAATAATTAAACAACCCACCATCTGAAGAGATGTTGTACAACAAGTCTGACTGTGGGGCGTGTGTGCATTCCAAACAACAAAAATGTGGGCACATAGCATGCCTCAGTATCTTATCTGACTGGGAATAGTTACTAAAAAGTGTATTACAATAAATTGTAAAAAATAGCCAGTTTGGAAAATTATTCCAACTCAGCTGAAAGCCAGACCTTGTCTATTTAAGCCATATTTATGCACTATAAACATACAACTATTTACTGAATAAACCCTAATATTGCTATTTCAGTTCTCTCTGCTGGGAACTAGTGCCCTTAGCATAGCGCAAGCGTGTGTAATCATGTGCTAGTGTTATGCTTTTTGGGGATAGTTCCCTTGTGTCCCCAAAAACAGGACATCAGGGAACAAACACTATATGGTGGAACAGGACCCTAAGATCGGGACTGTATCAACAAAATCAGGACAAATGGGAGGCCTGTCTGATGTTTGAGCAAGTATAAACTATATGAGAGATAGGGTCATTATATCAACTAGAAATCTCTTGTCATTAAGCCAACTGTGCAGTTTAAATATAAAACTTTCACCTCCTTGAGAGAGACTCAAGTGTTTTCCTCTCTTGGTCAAACTCTGGGGTCAATGGTCTGGCTGACCTCGATGAAGTTGGTGTTCGCTCTCCATGGTGGGTTACTGGTCAATTCACACCATTTTGTTGACTACTGAACTCCACAAACACAGTAACAGTCAGTTTATCAGTTTGATTTTAAGCCACTGTCTATATATTCCGGACTAGGTTGTGATTCTAAATCTTGTAGTATTTTTTTTGTAAACACATTTGCTATGTTGATGAGTCTCTACAGGCGCACCTGTAAAAAAATAAATAAAATAAAAGCTGTTGAAGCAAATCTTTTGAGAGATGATAGGAAATTTGAACCCTGATATCTTGTTCTTTTTGTATTCACTGTGGCCAAAAACACTAAAATACTGTCCCAACTGACCATTTGTGTTTTAAAAACGAAATAAATTTTTTACCAGACTGATTATTCCAATTCCCTTCCCTCTGCGATCATCGGGTTCCTTACTTTCTCCAGCGTTCATCTCATCAATATGTAACTCTTATTATTACATAATGTGGGGCGGAGGACAGCATGAGCGATCTCCCTGGCCGGCGCTGAAGTTGGTTGTGGGCTCTATGGCTGATAGGGATATCAAAGTTCTCTGTCACTGGTCATTGTGTCCTGATACTGATCTCGCTGGAAATGATCTGATACATTCCCTCGGCACCGGCTGGAAGGAGTTGCAAAACCAGCAACCTCTCCAGGATTCTCTGGCCTATGTCAAGCCTCAAGAGGAGAGGAGGTTGGTTGGTTTATTTATTTTGTATACAGCCCCTCAGTCAATCTCCTTTCACTAAAGCTCCTATTTTATTTTATTTTTTTTACTCAATAAAACTATTTTAGTTTTGGCACTACAGTTACTGGTTGGTTAGGACAATGACAGATAGATTGGCACTGCAGTTACTGGTTGGTTAGGACAATGACGGATAGATTGGCACTGCAGTTACTGGTTGGTTAGGGCAATGACGGATAGATTGGCACTGCAGTAACTGGTTGGTTAGGGCAATGACGGATAGATTGGCACTGCAGAAGATGGCTAGCTTAGTCATATGTATAATACAGTTTGAACAAACATCTGCATCGATACGGTTGGCCATCTCTGGTTTAGATACTGAAACTGTAACATGAATCCTACATGGGATTCGGATAATTCCGCCTGACAACTGAAGTACTCTTAACCTTACAAACATTATCATTGCAATCTACTTCCTGACTGTGCCTTTGGCAGCCTGGAAGATTTCCTGTATAAAACATAAATAAGAATCAAACAAACCACATAAAAGTCTCCTCTGCAGCAGGACTAGAGAACAGTTACTTTTACTTCACTAGCTCGCCATAGTGAGGAACTTAGAGGTAGAATAATATTATATAGCGGTTTTGCCAATCTCCTGATCACAACACAGAAATGCGTTTTTTTTTTTCATGAATTGTCTCGTCTTTATTATTTATCGCTAACTTTTTAGTTCTTTATTTTTCCATTTTTGCATTCCTTTTTGCGTAGCACGTGTGTGTGTGTGTGTGTGTGTGTGTGTGTATATATGTATGTGTGTGTGTGTATATATATATATATATATATATATATATATATATATATATATATATATATATATTTTTTTTTACATTGTGTTTTTGTATCAGAAATTCTATTTTGTCTACTTATGCCACTTTCACTTGGAAATGAAGACTAAATATTTTCACAATATTCTTAAAGGTGAAGCCACAAAAAATGCCCTGATATGTAAAGGGGAAATTAGGTTATTTTTGGAAAACAGTAGGTTTGAAAACACTTTAATAAACTTGGACAGGTTCAGATTTTTGCATTTTAAAATACGGGGGGATTGGGCATTTAATGTTTGCCAATCAGATTATTAAATTTTTCTTCACTATACTCTGATGTTATGAAATTCAATTTTATTCTTCATTGTGTATTGAACTGAAGTCACCAGATTGGCACTGACAAAATATGCAGACATCTGAAGATGACCAAGCCACTTCAACTGAACGAAGGGTTCAACAAACGAAAGACAGATAACACCTGCAGACTCCATACATCTAACCACTGCATTAGCTGTTGTTATTATGCTGCTTACTGTCTGTTTAGGCCTGACACTTAACCCAGTAAGTGCCAGTAAAGAGAAATGGATGATTTTAGAAAAAATAAATACATTTCAGGGTTGTATGCTGGGTATTGCTGTGATTTCAGGGTTAAATTGTACAGACTTCCTCCTCTGGAAGTTCTATCTGTGATCTTGATTGTCCTTTATTATGTGAATGTTTTGTAAACCTAAAGAGGGGAAATAAGAGGAAGTGAAGCCCTTTTTTAAGGAAAGGTTTCCTTTGATTAATGTTTGATTGTTAAAAAAGCCACAGGGCAAGGGATGTTCGGCAGCATGAGAAAACAAGCCAACATAAATGATTTGATTTGATCATAAGGTTGAACTTAAACTGTGTGTAGTAAAAACAAAAGTGCAATATTGTAATTCTATGTTCTAATGCGGAACAGCATGGGTCTGTAAACGGTCATCAAAGCCTAGCAGAATATTATATAATAGGCTTTCAGATCAACTATCTACCTAGGCTTAGCTAGGTTACATTGGACTCCGGAGATCTGTTTATTCTGAACTATAGAATTTGTTTGAATGACTTTACTGTCTTCACTGACATCTTGGCTCATAGTCCTACAATACTTACCTCCCATTATTGGGGGGGTATGCCAGTGACTCACAGCACATAAGGGGCAGATCTCCTATTGTCCCTACGTGTAGCTAAATTACTCAAAACGGCAACTGCCCCCTATCTTCCAAGAACAATCCATAAGATACGCACAACAGATTGGAAGGATATCAATAAAAGTCACTTTTTTGATATCTTAAATTTAGAGGCATCCATAATTTTTTAACTATCGATAAATAATAATGAAGATGGTGGCATTGAGGCCCTGACTACATGCCTCAGACTACAAGAGGATGTGGCTCACAGCTGGACCTGCAGCGGAGCACCTGTTGGACCTTAAGGGGAGATCTTTGGCCACAGCACCTCTTCAAGATGATCACCTGGAGTGGGAAGCAACCTCACCACACACCTATTGCCACTCCCATCCTTCATTTCTTCATCTCACTGTAGAGGTGCAGTCTATTGTGGGAGAGGGAATAGAGATACGCTTCTCCCTTACTTTATTATTATTTTGCAAAATATGATTCGCTAGAAGAAAATTCTTTTGCATGTCCCCTTTAAGTTGAACAAAAAAAACGTAATAATGTTCCTTTAAGAGCATGGTTTGCAATAATATATTTCATTCAAAAGATGGAAAATCCTCCTTTCTAGCTGAGGCACAATCTGTGCATTTTGATAAGGCGTGAGCTCCGTCTTGTCATCTTGTACTCTGAGGTGCGATATCTGAAGGCTCTTTGAAGTGTCATCACTTGCGAGAAATGCTAATCGCTAATACCACTTCAACATCTATCACGTCCAGTCAGCGCAGCTGTGCTTATAGTATGATAAGCACCAGTCACTCTATATATTTTAAGCTGAACTACAATGACATGGCTCTTCTCTAGTCATATTTAGCAGCAGAGTTATAATTGTAAACGAGAAAAAAGTGTTTGTGCTAATTTTTGGTCTGGATGGACAACTGTAAGAAGTACAAAGGCAGCACATACTGTTTTTAAGATCAAGACTCCAGTTTAATTCAGGCACTTGAAGTTGCAGATTTGTGTAACAGATGGAACCGCACATCTTGGTTTTGATAAAGTCTCTGCAAAGGCAAATTAAAAGGGCAAAAAGTTTTTTTCTTCTTTTTAAAAAAAAAAAAAAAAAAAGACTATCTGCTCTATTGTGGACCTTGTTCACGCATTGGATTAAGAGAGCAGCTGCTAAAATACCATTACATAGCAGCAAACAGATATTTGAAGCTGCTGGTGCCTCTGGAGTCCCACAGCCATCAAGGTGTAGAGTCCTCCAGAGTCTTGCAACTGTGCATAAACCTTCTATTCGGCCACCACTAACCAATGCTCACAAGCAGAAACGGCTACATTGGGCAGAAAAATACATGAAGACTAATTTTCAAACAGTCCTGTTCACTGATGAGCGCCGTTCAACCCTGGATGGTCCAGATGGATGGAGTAGTGGATGGTTGGTGGACGGCCACCCTGTTCCAACAAGGCTGCGACATCAGCAAGGCGGTGGTGGAGTCATGTTTTGGGCCGGAATCATGGAAAGAGAGCTGGTCGGCCCCTTTAGGGTCCCCGAAGGTGTAAAGATGACCTCTGCAAAGTATGTGGAGTTTCTGACTGACCACTTTCTTCCCTGGTACAGAAGGAAGAACTATGCTTTCCGTAATAAAATCATCTTCATGCATGACAATGCACCATCTCATGCTGCAAAGAATACCTCTGCATCAATGGCTGCTACATTTGTATGTATATATAGCTATAGATATAGATAGAGAGAGAAAAGCACAAATAAATAGTGTATGTCGTAAATATGGATGTTTAACAGCAAAGTAGGCAGGGCCGGCCTTAGGTGTTTAGGCGCCCTGTGCGAGCCAATCTTGTGGCGCCCCCCTCCTCCAGTCACCTAAACATACATAAAGAGGAAAAACATCTTTGTAACAAATAATTTGTTTTAATTACAGATAATTTAAGTACAATTGCAAGCAAGTACAATAATAAATAACTGGTTAGACTGGTAACAATAATGTACATTAAATATAGAAATAAACTGCTAATTGTGCAATCTTTGTAACAAATACTTAATTTTTTTCAAAAAATAAAAAGTATTTGTTACAAAGATTGCACAATTAGCAGTGTATTTCTATATTTAATGTACATTATTGTTACCAGTCTAACCAGTTATTTATTATTGTAATATTATTTGCCAATCAAAAAAAAAAGTGTTTGTTACAAAGATTGCACAATTAGCAATTCATTTCTTTAATATACATTATTGTTACCAGTCTAACCAGGTATTTATTATTGTAATATTATTTGCCAATCAAAAAAAAAAATGTGCAAACAATTACAATAATAAATAACTGGACAGACTGGTAACAACGTTAAAGGGACACTATAGTCATCAAAACAACTTTAGCTTAGTGAAGCAGTTTTGGTGTATAGATCATGCCCCTGCAGTCTCACTGCTTAATTCTCCACCATTTAGGAGTTAAATCATGTATAGCCCCACGTCTTGGTTTGGCCCACTCTAGACAATTTCAGGCACACAATCTGCAACCTCCACCCCCTTCTAAAAAGCCTTGCCCCTCTTCACCAGAAGCCCTGGCCTCCCCTTAACCACACACCTGCACCTGCATCACCCTGGCCACCCCTTCATCAAACCCCTACCCGTCTTCATCAAACCCCTGCCCCTCTTCATCAATGCCCTACCCCTCTTCATTAATGCCCTGACCCCTTTCATCAATCTTCTGACCCACTTCATCAATCACCTGCTCCCTTCATCAGACCTTGCCTCCCTTCATCGATCCATCCACTGCCCCCCCTACATGGATCCATCCACTGCCCCCCCTTCATTGATCCCCTTCCCCCTTCATTAGACCCCGCCCATCTTCACCAATCCAATGTCCACCTTCCATCAATTTCTGCCCCACTTCTTTCAATCCCATGCCACCCCTTCCATCAACCCCCTGCACCCCTTCACCAACACCCCTGCATCCCTTCAATAAAAGGCAATATATTTAGTAAAAAAAAAAGGAAAAAAGCAATAAGAACAAGCACTCACTTTCATGGCTGCTGCTCCCTGGATCCAGCTTCCTACTCCACCGTCCGCCGCCGTCACACGCACTGAGCAGATAATTAAGCATGCTCTTGCTTAAATATGGAAACTTAAGATGGATGTAGGGGAACAAACTGGTGTGGACTGTCTGACAATGAAATTACTTAAGGTAAAGCTGACTTTGCGCACTTTGCAAATGCTCTTGCTGCTTCAGTCTCTCTAACACTGTGGCATGTTCCCTTTCTTCTACACTCACTACACCTTTCCTCTGTCACAGATTATATACCAGGAGCTTCTGCCTACCAGTAAGAAGGTTAAGAGAGTAGTGGACCAGTGAGTGCTAGAAAGCGTAGAGCTAGCGCATCATTAGACACTTTTATGCCAAGCTCAGGGTGCTGTCTGCACAGTATGTCCTTGGTTGGTTATCGTGCATGATTGGCCGGCAGGCTGACCTTCTAATTCTTCGTAAAGGTATGCCCCTTTTTGGGCATGTTTGTCCCTTTGGGCAGTTCTGTTTACATGATTCACGACAGTGGCCCACTCTTATACCCCGCCCACTGAAATCTGAAATGGCTTTTAATCTGGCCCTGGTCAAGGATTAAACTTTTCAAAGGATAACAAACTCTTTTTTGATACAAATGCATCTGTCATAGTAAATCCTGGTTAGTGATAAATTCTTAACTCACTTTGAGTAAACTGATAAAGTGATATAAATAATATCTGCATAACGTGTAGGGAGTACTGGTATTTAAAAAATATCTTTATGAAAAAAAATGATGACAGAGCCTCTTTGAAGCCAATAATTGTTCTTCCATTCTACCACTTCTGCAAACAATTAAACTAATAGACTATTACAGCCGTGCCTTCTCCATTATCGGACTGACATTTGCCAAGTGCTTCCTGAAAGCATTATTACATGACGAGGATCAGGGAAAAGACTCTTGGTCTGCTCACTAAATTGGAAATTGTGAAGAATTAATAAGGAATTTGCTAATTTTTAGACTGTAAACTGCTTGATTGGAAAAATTATTCTCCTTTATAAATTATCTTATTTTTATTTTTTATTTTTTTTTTATTTTTTTGTGAGTAAACCTTTGTTTAATTTTAAAAGTGCTCAAGCTGCTTTAATTAAAAAAAAAAAAGAAAAAAAAAACTAACTTTAGTTGAGTTTTAGAAATTCTTTTTTTTTTCCCTTTACTTGGTTAGTGCAGCAGAAGTACCTCTAGTGCCTGTCTGGAAGACTGGCATAGGCATGCGCAATGGGTATGCCGGGTGTGCCTGGGCACACCCTAATCCCTGCGGCACGCCTATGGAGTGAGACCGGCAGGGGAGATCTCCGGATCTCCCCTGTTGGCTCATGCAGAGCCGGCGCTATCTGAGCGCCAGCTCTGCTCTCAGCCGCCCTCCCCACAGGCAACGAGGGAGGCAGGAGAGGACCCGGGGAGCTCAACCAGCAGCTCCGAGAGTGAACTCTAGCCCATAGGGGCTAGAGTTCACTCTCCACTGGACCACCAGGGAAAGCAGCAGGAACAAGAATCCCCCCTACCTACATAAGGTAAGAAGGGAGGGGGGATATTAAGTAATGTACTCCCTCCTCCACCCCACAATCACCCACACACATACAGCACACACACCCACACAGCACACACAGCACAGACATACAGCACACACATATAGCACCCACACACACACATAGCACCCACACACACATACAGCACCCGCACCCACACACATACAGCACCCTCACAAACACACACACAGCACACTAACAGGACCCTAACAAACACACACACACAGCATACAAACAGCACCCTCACACACACATCTCACTAACAGCACCCTCACATACAGCACCCTTACACACACAACACCCTTAAACCACCCTCATGCTGCACACACACACACATACAGCAGTGTATGTGTGTGTGTGTGTGTGTGTGTATATATATATATATATATATATATATATATATATATATATATATATATATACACACACACATACATATACACGCGGCGTGTGTTTGTGCTTTAGGGTACGCCTATGAAGACTGGTAGTCTATTATATTTAAAAACAAACAAAACAACCCCACAACTTTACAATACATATGTCAGTATGTGATTTAATTTTTATTTCTTTTACCTCTTAAGGAGGCAGTTTCTGAACCTAAACAAAACCTAGAATTTGTTCTACGAGTTTGTTCTACCATAGTTCAAGTTCTTTAAAGGGAGCATATAGTGCCAGGAGAACAAACCCGTTTTCCTGACACTATAGGGTTATTAGGTCCCCCCCTTCCTCGGAACCACCCTCCCGCTGGGCTGAAGGGGTTAAACAGGTAGAAAGAAGGGAAGGCACCTAGGTGCCTAAAATCCCAACTAGAGTGTGTGAGCAGAACTTTCTAGGGGGTAACCCTTGTATATATACAGTTATGATAGAAAAGAATGTGATCCCAGGCTGGGGTAGCAATGGGAGCACTAGGGGGAAAGTACTGAAATATGCTAAAAAAATAATGTCATAGAAATAACTTTATTGAGGGTATCTACTCGAAAGTATGATCCCAATTAGAGAAACTGTTACAAATAAAACTTACTACACCATAACCACTAGAAATATATAATGATAGTAATATGTGGAGTGATGGACTCATGAGTCCATCACTCCACATATTACTGTCATTATATATTTCTAGTGGTTATGGTGTAGTAAGTTTTATTTGTAACAGTTTCTCTAATATTTCAGTACTTTCCCCCTAGTGCTCCCATTGCTACCCCAGCCTGGGATCACATTCTTTTCTGAAGGGGTTAAACCCCTTCCACTTACCTTAATCCAGCGCCCGGCTCCCTCAGTGCTGGTGATCTCTCCTTCCCCTGACCACATTAGCTCCCGAGTGGAGCCGAATGCGCATTCGCGGCCAGAGGCACGTATGCATTCAAATGGCCCATAAGAAAGCATTAGTCAGTGCTTTCCTATGGACTCCAATGTGAGTTCGAAGCGATTTTCACACTGAGAATTGCGGAAGCGGCCTCTAGTGGCTGTCAGAGGCTGACAGCCACTAGAGGCTGGATTAACCCTGCAATGTAAACTTAGCAGTTTCTCTGAAACTGCTATGTATTCAGCTGTAGTGTTAAAACTTTGGGGACCTGGCACCCAGACCACTTCATTGAGCTGTAGTATGAATTCTTTTTTTAAATGGACAGAAAGGGCTTTATTTAAATATCCTATATACATACCTAAAACAACATACAATATGAATGAAATGCTAAAAAATGGGGGAAAAGTCATGCATTTTTACATTGTTTATAATATTTTTTACAACAACTAAAGAAAAATAACTAATAAAATAGATTCACCTATCATTCCTGATTGTTAATTGCCTTCTATGTCTAGGATCTAATTTAAATTTTTGGTGTTTAAAGAAACGCTATAGCATTGGGAATACATTGAAAATGTGTATTCTAAAACCGCTCTGAAACCATCTAATAGAAATAGCAGAGGAGTTGCTCTATTTCGTTGGAAGCTCCTAAGTAACAGCCACTAGAGGCACTTAAACCCTGCAATGAAAACATTGCTATTTGGCAAAACTGCAAACTTTTCAGCTGCAGGGTTAAAGCAGCGAGGAGATGGTACCCAGACCACTTAATTGAGCTGCCTATATTTTCCTTTTAGCGCTAACCCTGCCCCTTTTCCTTACACTAACTTTTAGAAAATACCTACTCTAACCCAAACTCTACACTATCCCCAACTCTAAAAGCACATTATCCCTTACCCCTAAGGAATTCCCTCTGCTAATATCAGTACTGATATCAGCAGATGGTTTCCTAGGAAAAGTAGTGAAGAGTGGCCTGTGACTGCCATCTACTGGCTTTTTTTCAGCATGACTGAAAGATCTCCCTGTAATGCTGAACCTCCAGCATGATTTCTCTGCTGCTGTACACACTGTGATTGGTGCTTGCTTCTGGCAAATCCCCGCACCGATTACAATTGGGATGGGGCATGCAGGGACACCATGCCTAGGTCTGTTCAGACCATGGGTGTCTTTCTTGGAGAATCACAGCAGCTGCATATAGCTCATTGATCAGATTGCCGCCACTAACTGTGGCCACAGTTAAACAAGGGAGCACTAAGTATTGATTGATTTCTGAGTCTCCCTGATGTGAGTGGGATATTTCAAACTGCAGGGTGAAGGTTCTGCTGCTCTCTCACTGGCTTAGAGAGATCTATGTTGGACAATTAAATAAAAACTTTTTTTTTTTTTTTTAAATCTCTACATTTGTTAGCCCTTTTCCAGCACAATAAATAGAAAAAAAAGCATTGCTCTTTAAAGGGACACTACACACAAATCATTTTGGCTTGTGTAAGTTCTTTGTGTGTAGAGTGTTCTTTTTTTGTTTTGTTTTTTTACATAAAATGTAGATTTCAGTAGGAATTGGCAGTTTTATAAATTGCAATTTTCATGGAGCGCATTGGGAAATCTGTGAGTGGACATCCAGAGAAAGTCTGGGCTAGGAAACAAGGGAAGGACTTGCAAATTACACAGACAAGAGTTCTGCAGCTTTTCATGCTGTATTTTTAAATACACCCTCTATTTAACCCCTTAAGGACACATGGCATGTGTGACATGTCATGATTCCCTTTTATTCCAGATGTTTGGTCCTTAATGGGGTTAAAAAAAACCCAACTTATTAATTAAATAGATGCATGTTTGTGTAGGTATATCTACTAATATCTAATAATTGGAATGTTCCTTTAATTTACAGCTAACTTATGTCTACTATGACAGGTACACTTTAAATCTAAGCTTTTATGTATTTTTTAATTCTAACAAATAGGCATTTTTATTTTTTTTGTTATTTAGTTTTGACTGTGCAGTTTGTCAAATCCAGTCCTGTAGGTGTTTTGAATACTACTCTAGCCAGCCAAGCATGTTGAGAGTTATAATCGAGAGCAATATCAAATGTTAGAACATTCCTGTCTTTAAACATTATGCTTTTTACAGCTTAATATAGCATGGTATTTTTGTATCTTTCGTTTCCCAAATGTTTATATCCAGCAGGTATTCACCAAAGCAACTTTTTTCTGTGAGGTTCTTTCCAGAAGCACTGTTTGTCATTCATAATATCAGATCTGTTTAATCCATTCATCATAAACCCACACATAACTGTGAAGATTGGTTTAGTAATGTTTATAAATGGAATTATGGTGAGTTTCCATGGCAATTAAACCACATTATTTTCTGGTCGTCTTGATTTGGCTGATATTCCATTTTCCTAGGTTAAGAAGTAATACAGTCTTGTAAATATACTCTAACACTGGGAACTGTTTCTCTTGATTGGACATGTTTGTAGTTTGTCTAGCACATTGCAGAGCATACAAGAGATGCTGATTGGTCGATATTTCTGAAGACACACAGTTCTGTGTTTGCAGTGGTTACTGTAAATTGTATATTTCTATAAAAGTTTCTCTCTCTCTCTCTCTCTCTATCTATATATATATATATATATATATATATATATATATATATATATATATATATACCCATAATGTAGATGTTAGCACCAAATGTTATGAGGCAGGTACCTCTTTAATTTACAGCACACAGGCACAATAAACTTTAGTCATCCTCACCTTAAAGAAACAGTCCAAGCACTATAACCACTACAACCTGCTGTAAAAATGTAAATCGGAAATTGAACTGTAATGCTGTTGGAAAGCCAAGGTCTCCTTGTAGCCTGTTCTGCCTTCGGCAACGCCACTCTCCCACACTGCCTTTGGAGCGATATCATAGAGGTCAGGGTTGAGGCAAAGCTAAGGATCTATGTATTTGCAGCATTTTTTATAAGGAAACACTGCATATTCAGGCTCCTTGCACCATAACTGCTTTAAAACACTGAAATGGTCCTAGTGTTTGTAGTCACCTTTTAAAAGAATTATGGTATTAAAACGAGAAGAAAGCATATCTCTCTCCTAAGTCTGAAAACAAATGGAACATTTATAAGCAAAGTAGTTGAGCTTTGGAAATGTTTCTCCCTTTGAAATGTCTCTTTGTCCAAAGAAGTTTGGAAACCACTGCTCAAAACCATAATAACCACAATGTCCTTAGCTAATCTTAGCTTTGTACCTGGCACATGAATGTGGACATTTGTCTCCACTAATTATCATGGCTGCTATTTTTATAGAGCAAATCTTGCTGGATAATAATGTTTGTTTTATAGACCAGTGGTGGTACACTCCCTCGACTCTCCAGTTCCTTCGTGTGATCAAAGGGACACTACATAAGCACCATTACCACATATGCTCTCTAAATTGGTTATGGAGCAAGGATCTCCCTTAAACCATATCCTTTCCTTCTGAAATTAGAAGTCACTTGCCCCACTCTCTGATATCACTGTACCCCACCAGATGTATAGGAGCTTGTAGATCGAGCATTCATGATGGACAAATGCTACAGTAGGTCCTGAAACATTCATGGTGGAGACATGCTACAGGTCCAGAATCCTTTGCAAAAAAAAAAAAATCTCATAATTCTCTGAGAGCCTGAAACAAAAAACAACCAAACAAAAAAAACATGAATGAAGTTAATCTGCAAGTAGAATCTGACCCATGGATTCTATTAAAAACCATAGAAAAAAGTTGCATTGGAGGTGGTGTGCTGTAGTCGTTGCTGCCGCCCAGTAGTGATGGGAGTGAGCGCAGGACTTTTCTTTTTGTATTTGTATCCATGGCTTCTATTAGTTTATCAAATGTAACCAGTAATGTTTTTGCAGAAATTAAACTGCTTGTTGTTGGACAGAGGTTTATGGCACATTTTTACAAGCGTTTCTATTGGGCAAAGTTTAGGTATAATTTGTGGCTCATAGTTTAAAGGACCACTCTAGGCACCCAGACCACTTCAGCTTAATGAAGTGGTCTGGGTGCCAGGTCCAGCTAGGGTTAACCCATTTTTTTATAAACATAGCATTTTCAGAGAAACTGCTATGTTTATAAATGGGTTAATCCAGCCCTCAAATCCTCTAGTGGCTGTCTCATTGACAGCCGCAAGAGGCGCTTGCGTGATTCTCACTGTGAAAATCACAGTGAGAACACGCAAGCGTCCATAGGAAAGCATTGATAATGCTTTCCTATGAGACCGGCTGAATGCGCGCGCATTCAGCTGAAATGGAGGAGAGGAGGAGGATCGGAGGCGGAGAGCTCCCAGCCCGGCGCTGGAGAAAGGTAAGTTTTAACCCTTTCCTCTCCCCTAAGCCGGGCGGGAGGGGGACCCTGAGGGTGGGGGCACCCTCAGGGCACTATAGTGCCAGGAAAATGAGTATGTTTTCCTGGCACTATAGTGGTCCTTTAAAGTCTGTTGTTCTTTTGCAAAATGTGAAAAGGTATATCCTAATCTTGATGATTTAAACACATTCACAGTACGGGGTTATTGTGCTACAACGTGTTCATCTCTTGCAATTATTCCCCTTAAATCTTTACCACTCCAATCATACAAGGTTATCTAACAGAAAATCATCCATTGATAAAACTGTTTCCAACAGTAACTGAAGTACAGAACTATGTATTGTCCACCGTATGTCACGACCCATTTTCTCTCGACTTTGTATCCACATAATGCAGGTCTGACCTACATACAAATGATTGTTTTTTTTCCTCTGCTGTCAACAAACTATTCTAATCCTTAAAATCTCTCGAGCATTAATTCCTTGCTCATATACTTATTTATGTGCTTTAAGCTCACACAGAATTCTTTCAGTTCGTTAATAGAACCCTCTTATTGCTGTTTGAACCAGCAAAGGCTTATTGGCCATTTGCCCCTTTCCACTAGTTTATGAGAGCTTGACTGGTGACATTTTCCTCCTGCTGTGCAGAATGCAGTGTGCACACACGCATGGACGCGCGCACTGACAGACACAGAAACACACAGACAGACGAAGAAACCTCTCAATGGATACAAATCTTGAAGCGGAGATGTAAATATGGCATCACAATGCTAGCTTATAAGGAAATTCTCTATGATTTGGGAATAAAATATATTTAATTGTGATTGAGCTGATATGCATACATATGGTTATATTTAGCTTAATGAAAGTCCGATTAATTCCTTCAAGACGTTCGAGTGATAAGCTTGTTTTTCAAATAAATGTTCTTTTAATAAATTAATACAAGAAAGTTATACAAATTATATTTCGGTTAGATTAACCCATGTGTGGGCAATACAGGCAGGTATAAAAAAAAACTTTTGGTTTATGTACTACCCATGGGACAATAAACTTCCACCTCCCGCCAACCTCCTCCCCCCCCCAAAAAAAAAAAGCTATGGCATCTTTACAGAAGTGATGTAATTCCTCTAGCACTGTGGTCTTAAAGGGTTTTGAGAGGACTCCAAATTATAAATGAGATTTTAACTTGGCCATCCATTCTTCAGTTATTGCATAAACTCAGCAATCCTTTCAACTCAATGTAATGTTTAACAAGATATATTCTATACAGCCTCAATCCCCCCAAGATCACAGCATCTCTGTTGGACACTGAGGAAGGTAGCACTGCTACAGAAGCAAAATTAAAGTGTCCTGTGATCGTAAAGCTGAGGAGTGTGGCTTGTCTGTTTCAGTCATTGAAAATCTAGAATGAGGGGTTAAGAACCACTGATTTAGTAAAAAACACAAGTCGCAGGACCGCGTGTGGGAATTGGAAAACAAAATACACCCTAGACGTTGGTAACACCTCTATATACATTGTCTGCAATGTCTAGAGAAGGATGTATGGATTCTTTAATGACACTGTGTTGGCAGCTGAGTCTTGATTGGCTTATTATAAGCTTTTACTAGATTTCCCCTCATTTTGCCTGAATAACATGGAATAAAATAAGATCATGAAACGTTTAAGCCCTGAACAAATCAGTAAGTCAGAATTTTATGGATATCTCCCATCAGTGGTGTATTTTAGATTTGTGCTGCCCTAGGCACAACTAAATTCGGACACCCCCCAAATCTAAATTTGCCCCCCCAATTTGTGTCAAGGCCACTTTTTTGACTGACAGACACAGGCCCTCATTGAAACATGCACTGACAGACACACACTCTCAGATACACATACAATGACAGACACACACACTCACAGACATACCCATCCTCACTGATTTGACACACTCTGACAGACACACACTTTCACGCACTCACAGACACGCACTGACAGCTACACTCACTCACAGAGCGTGAGAGAGCAAGAAGAGCGGAGGACAGCGCTTCCTTGCCGTCTGGCTAGAATGTTAGTAGTTTAACGCCTCGGGAAGGAAAGCCCCAGGACACGAGGCAAACAAGGCATTTGTTTGGGAGCTTGGGGTGGCACCCTAGGCACCCCCTGAAAGTGCCGCCCTAGGCAAATGCCTTTTTTGCCTTGTGGTAAATACAGCCCTGTCTCCCATGGGATATAGAAGCCTTAATAATCATACAATGCATTGTAAAGCGTGATGTTTGTCAACACTTGAGTAGTACATGCAAAATACGTATACCTTCAGCCAAGGGCCTTTTGTGCAACGTGATGTATGGTAACTTTTAAAAACACTTTAACAACTTCTTTATGGCATTTAGATCAAATATGCCTATATTGAACAGCATAATATAGTGTTAATGCATTTAGATCAAATATGCCTATATTAAACAGTATAATATAGTGTTAATGCATTTAGATCAAATATGCCTATATTAAACAGTATAATATATGTCAGTGATTCTTGACACCTAGTGACTCCAGGTCCTGGGCATATTAAACCATATCGAACCACAGTAAAAATATGAGGTTGGTACATGCCACAAAGAGCAGCATAATTGCCTGTAACATAGAACATTACATACAGGGCTGGCGTGTCCTATAAGCTGATTAGGCGGCCGTCTAGGGAACTTCTTTAAGGGGGACACCGACACCAGCTATACTGCTGGTTTTGCCCATCTCCCTCTATGTGGGACACATTCTGTATTGTGTGCTAGAGGTCCTGGCACCGGGCTCTAGGCAGCACTTACATAGGGGCAAACTAGCACTCGGTGCCATCAACCTCAGCATACAAAGAGCCACTCCCCCTACATACCTCATATCCCAGCAGCGCACGGGCGCATCGCACGATCGCTCCCGCCCCTTCACCTGTACTCGGGGTCAAGTGGGCGGGATCAAGTGGGTGGTGGGCGGGCTCAAGTGGGTGGTGGGCGGGCTCAAGTGGGTGGTGTGTGTCAGCCTGTTTCAGTCAGTATGTTTTTGTGTGCTTGGGTCAGTGTGTGTATCTGGATGGGTCTGTGTGTGTGTGTCTGCGTCTGTGTGTGCATGTCTTCTTGGGTCTGTGTGTGTGTGTGTATTTGTGTATGTCAGTCTACATAAGTCAGTGTATGTCTGCATGGGTCTGTTTGTGTGTGTGTCACTGAATCAGTGAATTTATGTGTGCCTTGGTCGCTGATTGTGATTGTGTGGACCATCAAGTGTGAGTGAATGAGTCTGAGTCTGTGTGTGTATGTAAACATGGCATTGTAGCAGAGGTGTCTCTAGTGACTGTCACTGTGACAGCTACTAAAGTCTTGTTTAACCCTTCAAGGTAAGACAATGTTTTATCTTGTGGGGTTTAACCTATAGGACCACTGTGGCGCAAATGGGTTGGCAAATTATTATTTTTTGCCTAGGGCAGCAAAAATCCTTGCACCAGGCCTGATTACATATAACATTACTTGATCGGTACTTATATTCATGATGTGGCAAATTAGTGTACTCAGTGGCTTATCTTGTCAAACTCGACCAACGTTTGTGTAACAGTGTTAATGAGGTCGAGGATTGAAGGGTTAAATACACTCATAGGAAGCCAATTACACCCAATTGTGGTTTAACTCTAATACTCAAAATAAGAACAAGGCCAGTGAACTTTCTCATCTGTGTTGTAAAATATAACCTCGAACTCTTTCTCTGCCAACCAAGTCATAATAGAACAAGCTCCCACTGTATTCTATAGATCCACGCATACCTGGCAATCTGCAGGTTTATCTAAAGACCAAGCTTTAATGCAAGACACTTTCTCTAAGTGTTAGGAGGTGCTTAGCCCTACTCACAACATGCCCAGCTTTTGGATTTAGGGATCTTCCTGCAAGTGAGTCACTAAATCCCAATAAGTCTCTGAATGATTAATGTGCGTTTAAGAAGACTGCACATTTACAAGTGAAAATTCAGTCCTGGTAGGTGTGTAACAGATCCGTAGACCTGTTTAAAAGCAGCATTTTATTGACAGTGATTGCATTTTAAAGCTCTGTAGAGATTGTAGAATATGTATCACAATATGATAGATACAAATAAGGTTAAGGAAAGTATAAAGTTTTGAATGATAAATATAACCTACATATTATTGCCCTATATGTTGAAATCTTTGTAATAATTGTAAGAAACTTTGATATAGGGCCATGCAGCCTCTAAAGATGCTATCGTACAGAGATCCAATGCATCGGAGTTTCAGGTTCACATTTTTCTTAAAGGAACACTCTAACCACAAAAACAACTGTAGCTTTATTAAGCAGTTTTGGTGTGTAGATCGTGCTCCTGCAGTCTCACTGTTCAATTCTCTGCCATTTAGGAGTTAAATCACTTTGTTTATGCAGCCCTCTGTGTAAGGAGACTTTGTGAGTATCATCCAGGGGAGGTGTGGCTACGGCAGCATAAACAAAGTGATTTAGATCATAAGTGTTAGTGAACTCTTCTGGTGCGTAGTTTCCCTTTAAAATCAATTGCTTACTTTGCAGTAAGATATCTTTTTGTTTATTTATTTACGTTTTTTAACCAGGTAATGAGCATACCCAAACCCCAGGAATTTAAACCAGATGATAATGCAGCCCTGCGTTGTAGTGTTCCCATTGCTGTATCTTGCTACACAGGAACAGAAATAATCTATGGCAAACAGTGTCTCCACAAGGATTGGAGCAAGGTGTTGTAGAACAAAAGCTGGGCATGTTGTGAATAGGACTAAGCAGACCCTAACATTTAAAGAGAATGTCTTGCATTAAAAATTTTGACCTTTAGATAAAACTTACAAGTTACTAGGTATGATGTATACAGTACAGTGGTAGATTATGCTAGTATGGTTTGTTTGGCAGAAAATTAGTCTGTCGATAATGGTAGACATACTTCTTTCATGTTGAGTGGAATATAAATGACGTTTATGATCTATATATAATCAATCATCAAAGTGCACTTGGAATAACTATATTATTTAAAGCTTGTCTCTTTGGTACTTAAGGAATGCAGTTTAGAAGTGTCCCAAATAAAGATGTAGATACTGTATAGCTAATTATATCTCTAATTCATCGCAATATTACAGCTACAGTACACTGCAGAGTGATCAGAATGGGGATTGTTGTATGATGGTAATCTTAATAAACATTAGCAAAATAGTAAAAAGAAGTCAAAAGGTGTGTTCTGGGAGAAAAAAAGACTTAGAATTAGAAAGATAGAAGCTTTATTAAAATTGGGAAAACTTTTTTAACAGATGGGAACAGGGCAAGTACTCTATGAAAAGTAGGCAAGCAATTAACCAGGAGATGGGCATTGAATAATACAACATCTGGGCAAAATAGAAAGGACACTGAAACATTGTTGAAAAATTTTTTTCCAATGAACAGCACTACTATATTTTTCAGTCTAGCTTGACATTACTAAAAGTAAGTATTTGGGGTCATTGTGAGCGTAAGAGGACATCTTACGTGTTTTTGTGTCCATTGAAAAGTGGACACAGCAGTAAAAAGTAAATGGGAGTTGGGCAACAAAGGTGAGCACAGAAGAATGAGGTGAAAAAAAAATTAAATTACCTGTCATGTGAAGTACTAACTCCCATTTTTAACTTGGCCTGTCCTCTAAAGTCCTCATGCTAATCACCATAATTTCCCACCATTTCACACTCTGGACATTTCTCTACTACACCCTCCAAGTATAGTTTGCAATTTCTTCTTTGCAATTTACCCTTTGCTTATCCATTTATTGTATGCAATATTTTATTTTACCTGTTACAAATCTCTCTTTAATTTCTTGGAGTTCTAGGACACACAGGTCAGATACTCTCAGGACAAAACAGTGGCCCAACACGCAGAATTAAGTCAAACACAGAAAAATAATAAACTAAGGAAAAACAGATTACCGGGCTTTAGAATGGCCAGAATTAACATAAAAAGAATAGCCAGTAACAAGTCGGGGTCAGGGATATAGATGGTAAACAATAGCCAAAAGGTCATAGAGCCAGAGATATGGATAGTCAGAAAAGGCCAAGATCGAAAACCAGATAAACAGTAGACCGGAACATGCTCTCGGATAACCAAACAGAATGGAAACCATGACCGGGCAAAGAGAAAATGCATTCAGGGATTTAAATATCCTAAACTTAATTGCTATTGGCAGGCAGGGATCACGTGGTTCCAAAATGTGCGTGCTGATGACGCAGAGACGCATGCACGTCCGTCTGACCCCTGACATGCAAAAGACCGCGGCATACCAGTGGCCGGCGCCAATGGGACCCCTGCGCTCGCAGGGAAAGGAGGCTCTGTTGGATCGGGCAGTGATCCGCTGTGTCTTTCATAAGTATTTTAGCCCAGCTGAGTAACCGCAATGATCGGGTGCAGTCACATGATGTACTGCATCGGGAGCTGTAACAGTACATTGACCCAGTATGGAAAGGGCTGGTGCAAAGATTTTGTCAGATCCTTCTGTGTTAAAACATCCTGTCAACTCATCATATCTCGGTTGTTGCATGAATACAATTTAGTGCGTTAATGGGATCAAACAGCTTATGTTTTTCAGATGGATGTGCTCTTTCAACATCTCTGAGACCTTTCCAGACTACAAATCTCTACATGTTCTGCTTGGAATCTGCACTTGTTTAACTGTCTTATTAAGGTTACAGGTTTTACACCAGAGTGCTGCATTCTAGTATATATTAAATTTTTCTGCAATTCCCCCCCGTATATACACACAATGGTTAAATTGCTGATTTCATATCGCCATATTAGGTGACTATCACGAATCTCCCTAAATTGCATTGCATTATTATTATTTTATTATTATGACAGGAACATTTTAAGAACCAAAGTCAATTTATCTTAATAATGAGCTGCCCCTGGAGCCTTGAAAATGAAAACGGTGCTATTTCTGAAGAGGTACACTGTTTACATCTTGCAATATACACACCTGTCAGTTGCTGTCAGACAGATGGCCGTAAATAGGTTTAATAAGTGAATCCATATGATGTCTGTATGACACCAAGAGGGCTGCACTCACTTGAACATGCATACATTAATAATGGTGCTGCTGGGGCCAATTCATACAACATACAAGATCCAGCGCACTCACTCACTAAACACCAACGTGAAAGCTTACAGAATGTAATATTTTCATAGTGGGACTCTCTGCAGTACAATGTTAAATTGGGCCCTGGAATGAGGGACCTGTGGCAAGGAATGTTGCAAAGCTGGGGAGTTGGCCTGGACTCCCAAAAATCTTTTCATATGAAACTAAGAGGGCTCCACTCACCGGAACATGCATACATTACAAAGGTGCTGCTGAGGCCAATTCATATAAAATTCAAAATCCAATCTCCAATCATCTTGTACTGCAAAGAGCCCCAGGAGGAAGGATTTCCAAAGTAAGTGGATTAATCTCATAAGAGCAAGCAGTAGGTTGATAGGTTAGGACTTGCCAAATATGAGGTACATTGGCGCTGTGGAAAATATATGCAATGTATGATCATATACCGTAACTAAACCAATTATTTTTGCATAGGTTAGATGTTTTAAAAACCTAAAAATAACGCCTGTATGTTTTATATAATGTTTTTTTGTTTTTTTATAAAACTTCTTCTAAATATAATTATTTTACTTAGAGCTGCACTGTCATGCTGATCTTCCCTTTCCCCAATTGATTCCTCTTATCTCACTCTGTCAGGATCTGTTCTTCTTTGTAATTTAGGGCCCCCACCTGCCGCTCATTGGTGAGGGCCAGGGGGGATGACATTAGGTCCCCCCCATTTTCTTTCTGGGCCCCCACCTGCCTCTCATGGATGGGGGCAATGGGGGAGGACAATAGATCCCCCCTTTATTGTAATTTAGGGCCCCCACCCGCCGCTCATGGGTGGGGGCGGACAATAGGCAGCCACTGGCTGCTCACTGTTTAGTAGATATGCCCTTACTCGCGGCATAGCAAGTAGGGCCATTCGGGAGATTTTAATCTCCCTTATGCTATGATGGGGGTCACATTGACCCCCATAGAGTGAGGGAGGACATGGGGGGCTTAGGAAGTGGTGGGGAGCACTGCTCCCTGCTGCCTCTATTTTTACATATTACAAGGAGGGAGCTGTGCGCCAGTAGCTCCATCCTTGTAATAAACCATAGTTTGAAATTTCTATCCATTTATTCGTCTTTCTGACAAATGAGTGAATAGATGTCCAAGTGTTTAACTGGCCATGCGCGGGAATTTCACAGTGTGGGCAGATGACGTGTCCCACAGGGACTTAATCTACCTACACAAAGATGGCGGTGGGACAATTAGATGTAGTGGAGTCAGGAGGGGGTGGTTAAAAAAAACAAAAAAACAAAAAACAAAACTGGATTCGGCCATGACAGTGACGCTTTAAATTGTACATGTTAAAACTAGATTATAATTTCCATTTTATTACAGCAAGATTCAGGCTGCATTCTATAGTTAAGCTGCAAAGAAATATCTAGTGACAGCATTACTTTAAAATCTCTGTGATCACCATCTAGTGTTGTAAGTAGGAATTTCAACAGAGACCTTTCTCATGCCTCTAAGGGAATAGTGTACTGTACTATAACTACAATAATGGATCACTAGCACATAGGCTCTATTTAAAAGCCAAAAAAAGGCAAAGACCATCAAGATTGACTTTTCTAATATTCACATATGCTGATTCAAAAGAGTCAAAATAAAAAATAAAAACAATTATACTTCGAGTAAGCACTTTCTGATATTAAATTGAATGTGGTGGTAAATGTAGTTTTAAGTCAAGCAGACTTTTGCTAAAAAACAATTTTCAGATTCAAGTTTCATGTTGCAAGTATTTATTCTAAAAGATCTAGCTATTCCATTTAGAATATAGTAAAACATTTTCAAATTTAGATTTGCTGCAAATCAAAGCCAATTTTGAATGTAACATTTTTTTTTTTGATCAGCTGGGATTGGTATGTTTGAAGTGTAAAGTTTACTAAGCAGCCCAAAAGGAAGTGCAGGGGTGTCTGTATGGTGGGCCTGCAGGCGAGTCTAATCCCTTAAGGACTAAGTTTAATTTACCCGTTTTTTACTTAAAGGAACTCTTCAGTGTTAGGAATACAAAGATGTGTTCCTCAGCTCCCACGGCTCCCCTCCCAGTGTTGTAAAGGGTTTAATTACCTTTTTTACTTACCCGATTTCAGAGACGAGCTGGGTTGTGATCCGCCGGGAGGAAGCAAGAGACACACAAAGGGGAGATGAGATGCACTAAAGGGGTAATACATTTAAAAGAGGGGGTTAATGAAGATGTTATTTTTTTGGGGGGTGCAGCAAAATGTATCTTTGCCTGTTTGTCTAAAAGTCATTGCACCATCCCTGACTCTATGTGAACTATCAAAGGGGTGTTATCACAGTGATGTTTTCTCCCTCTCCATTAAAACCATATTTCAAAAAGATTAATGCTGTTTTTAAAATTTACCACAATTCATAAAACCTAAAGAAGAATAAAAAAATACAAAGATTTAAATAAAAATCCAAGTTACTCTAACAGTCAATCCGAACCTGGGATTTACTTGGCTGACTTGATTATCTCCCAACATTCCTCTCTACAGCTAAAAGGAAATGGGGGGTGGGAGGGGGTTGAATATTATTGAAATGCATAATATCCAGGGTAGTTACATTTTTATATTGTATTTATTTTAATAAAAGCAATGTACTGAACATACTTAAAAGGACCACTCTAAGCACCCAGACCACTTCAGCTTAATGAAGTGGTCTGGGTGCCAGGTCCAGCTAGGATTAACCCTTTCTTCTATAAACATAGCAGTTTCAGAGAAACTGCTATGTTTACACTAGGGTTAATCCAGCCTCTAGTGGCTGTCTCACTGACAGCCGCTAGAGGCACTTCCGCACTTCTCACTGTGAAAATCACATTGACCCCCATAGAGTGAGGGAGGACATGGGGGTGCTTAGGGAGTGGCAGGGAACACTGCTCCCTGCTGCTTCTATTTTTACATATTACAAGGAGGGAGCTGTGCGCTGGTAGCTGGAGAAAGGTAAGTGTTTAACCCCTTCAGCCACCTTGAGCCCAGCGGGAGCGGGACCCAGAGGGTGGGGGGGAACCAGAAGACCCTATAGTGCCAGGAAAATGAGTTTGTTTACCTGGCACTATAGTGGTCCTTTAAAATTTAGCAACACAGGGTTTTTTTTTTTTTATAATAACTGCTCTATGAAGCAAAGAAGATTTCTGATGGCAAAGTCAATTCAGCACTTTTCCATAGGTTACAGTTGCCCTCCAGCTTGCTGTTTTTAGAAAGTTGAAAAATGTGCAAGTTGTTATTATTTTGTCTGTTATTATTTTGATTGTATACTGTTAGACAGGCTTTAGCAGATGACAAACATATGGTGAGCATGTTTCATCTTCACATGAGGCATTCCTCTGTGACCCACAAATGAATGGGGTATTGGCTCTGTAATTACACATTCCATCATTCTTTCATTATTTCCAACAGTCCTCTAAGTAGAGAGAGTGCAAAAAAATATTGATTTCTTGATTTTTATGTTTTTGTGTATCATTCATAGTTCACCGATCTAAGAATGTATGTATAGAAATACATTTAGGGCTTAAATAATATTAATAATTATTTCCTAAATAAACATAAGACATTTACAGTTCATGCTTCTCCTGCTTGTTTATGTACGGAACTTACCATAGATATGTTTTTTTTTGTTTTGTTTTGTTTTTTAGGGTTGTGCCAACTAAATGAAGCAGGCAATATATTGGTGGATCAAATGCATAGGCGTGCGCAGCACATTTTATAAGGGTGTGCCCCACTGGGTGGGCGGGCCTTGTGCGGCTTGTCAGGGATGTTCCATGCATCACTATTGATGCCGAGAAGAGGTGGGTCCACCTGAAAAGGAGGCAGACTCACTGACCGAAGGGATATGGCATAGATGCACAACATAAAACAAGACAAGACAAGGAAAGGTTGTGACAAAGATAAAAAATATATATACAGATAATATCAATAGTAGAGATGGTCCTAGTAAGAAATCCTCTTGTATAGGTGACTATAAGTTACATTTACATAAGTTATAAGGGTTATAAGTAGAAATAATGGTAGTACACTCACATTTATGCGAGCTATAGCCAGCTCTAGCGTAATAGGTGTACAGCGGTATAATCTCCACTTATAGGATATGCAGCAAGTGTCCACCTCAGGAGCCAAAACTATCCAAAACTAAGGAAAGGGATAGAAAGACAACTAATAGTGCTCTCGATATAAAAATATCAATATTATAGATAAAATGAATAAAAATGTACTTACAAGGATAGCGCAGGCTAACTTCTCTATGGTATCAGCATTAGTATGATCCCCCACCTAGGATGGCTTGGAGTACAGGAAAAGTAAAATGCCAAGATGTAAAATCAGTGTAAAAGAAAAGAGATAATTGGTAGAGGGTAGTGACCAAAAACCTTTAATACACAATATAAAATATCCAAACACGTTTCGCATAGGGCTTCTTCAAGTGGATAGAGTAGTATATAACCTGGCAGTTGGAGTTTATATAGGGCTAAAATGGATAAAATTGCTGCCAAAATTAGGTTTGCCAATTAAAAATTAACATCTACATAGTTGACATAAAAGAAGAAAGAAAGACATATTTTTAAATTTACTACTTAAATTAAATGCTATTTGTAATAAAACGTGAAAAACTAAGGGTTTAGAGGCTAGTATAAGTAAAGTCACGTAACAGCATCGGTAATATATTAGACGGCGGCCATACTTGGAATGGCGGCTGGCGTTTCACTAATGGGATGGATAGCCGTAACGGGGAAGGGCGTGCGTTAACACATATATTGTGATGGCCAGTGGCCATGATGGGAATGGCGGCAGTCCGTCCTATAATAGGATGGCTGGCCGTAATGGGAATGGGCGACATGTAGCTATTAAGTATATATTAAAGGGGATGATAGGCATATACATAAATACAATATGTAATGGTATCCAAAAATTTACTATTCCTTGGAGAGGGGGTAATATTAAAAATATCCTAGGTAAAAGTGAAATGGAATGGGTATTCAATCTACAGACACTCACACCCCATGGCCTCAATGCAAAATTTGATTTATTTAATTTTATATAATGACATTATACCTTTTACTGTGTACCCTCCCTCCTACTTTCTTGTTTTATTTCCATACATTTTTGGTATTTCCCACCATTTTAATATATACATTATTGCAACATTTTTCTGTATATTATGTATCCACATATTGTAATTATGTATAAATGAATGAAATTTAACATAGAGAAATGCAAAGTTATGCACTTCGGGGTCAAGAATGCACAAGCAACTTACACCCTAAATGGTAATGAATTAGGGATAACCACACACGAGAAGGATTTGGGAATTGTTATAGACAACAAATTAGGCAGCAATATGCAATTTCAATCTGCAGTTTCTAAGTCCAGTAAGGTTTCGTCATGTATAAATAGGGGCATAAATTCTTGGGATGAAAATATAATTTTGCCTCTTTATAAATCGCTGGTAAGATCACACCTTGAATATGCTGTGCAATTTTGGGCACATGTTCTAAAGAAAGATATCATGGCACTAGAAAAAATGCAAAGACCAGCTACAAAATTGATCAAAGGAATGGAGCATTTAATAACGAAGAAAGGTTAAAAAATTTAAATCTCTGTAGTTTGGAAAAACAGCACCTCAGAAGGGATATGATAATATTATACAAATATATTCGGGGCCAGTACAAACCATTATCTAGAAAAATCTATTCATAATCAGGGCTATACATAGGACACAAAGTCACACATTTAGGCTGGAAGAAAGGAGATTTCATCTAAGGCAAAGAAAAGGTTTTTTTTTTTTACAGTAAGAGCAATAAGGATATGGAATTCTCTGCCTGAAGAGGTAGTTTTATCAGAGTCCATACAGATGTTTAAACTGAAATTAAATACTTGCAAAAACATAACATACAGGGATATAATTTTTAATTAGTGGGGTAATAGCTGCTTGATCCAAGGAGACATCTGACTGCTATTTTGGGGTCAATAAGGATTTTTTCCTAGTTTGTTGCAAAATTGGAAGCGCTACAGACTGGGTTTTTTGCCTTCTTTTAGATTAACAGCAAAAACGTATGTGAGGAAGGCTGAACTTGATGGACACAAGTCTCTTTTTAGCTATTTAACTATGTATATGTACTTATGTATATGAGTATCATCATGGAATTTTTTTTTTCTTTTACAAGAAATAAAGATACACTGTTTGGCTACCACTGCTGTGGATTCTTCAAAAATAAGATTATCTATACACGTTGTCTCAGTCGCTCTCAACATAATATATTTATAAACGCTGTGCCTTTACACCGCATTGTGACTTTTATTGCTATTTTAATATTAAACTGTTGTAATATTGATATTGGCATTACTTTCAACACATTTTTTTTTTTTTGGCCTATAAATTGTGTGATCCAGAATATTGTTATTAAACTGATCTCCCTAAATAAAAACACAAAACAAAAAACACACAAAAACAAAATCGAACAAAACCTTGATCTTGTCTTCTGATAATGCATATAGAAAAGGCCTTTTGCATTAGTGTGCTGATGTAATCAACTAAGGCTTTTGGATAATTCATAATGATGCCTTGAAAAAGATTGCTCAGAGCAGAGCGGTAGATAAAAGCTTCTGTCAAATAACATGTAGATGTTATTCGCATATTAACCCTTTAAGGCCTAAAATGAGTGTGAAATGGTTATGAAGGAAAATATTTTTCAAATGTAAATTATTAGAAGGTGAGAAAAACCAACAAACCTTTTGTATATCATAATAAAGAAATATTAATATTTGAATAAAAAAAATAGCTTGCTCACTGTATTTACTAACAGGACAATGTCTCTTTCTCCGCAGAGTGAAGCCATGTGTACAAGTCCAAAAAACAAGCGGAGTGAAGGTCAGTGACAATGTGGCTTGTATGGTGTTTTTGTGTTTAAAAAAATAAAAAATAAATAATAATCCACCTTACCCTTCCACCAATTTATTTTTCCTTAGGATTAACCAGTAACACCTTTTCATAATTTGACACTTTTAGTTTCCTAATTATTGCCTATACTTGACTCCACTCATTCCATGGTTGAACATATAACCAGCTCTATGCCCTTTCTGGTTCTTATCTGGTTACGTCAACTTTCATGTGAAAATGTGAGGTGTGCAAAGGTTAATCCCTGTCCAGTAGAAAAATAATTGCAGTCTTGAACACCAATCTTTATGTACTCGTTTTTACATGTTATCGATCCTTATATTGATGGTTTGTTCTGTAGCTTGCTTTTAGTGCATTGAATGTTGGTTCATGTATGGTATAGATGTCCCCGGACTATCCTACTTTGGTAAAATGTTCACGCTTCATGTAAAGATGAATTGGTTTCTCTTTATATCCGCAACAATGTTCTTGTTCACTCAGTGGTACTCCAGATACATTTGTACTACCATACATCCTACAGTACACAGATAATAGCCCTCACCTACATCTATGTAACATGGATAACTGAAAGAGAAGCACTCATCTCCATCAAAGAACTGATTTTAGAACTGATCTTGAAAAACAAAAAAAAACACACTTCTATTGGATAAGCTTCCATGGAATTCACTGCCTCTGACCTGAGCCCTTTAACTTTTATAATTATTTTTAAATCACTTTAATCACTCTAATTTCCCTCTTGGTTAATTAACCTCCTTGCTGCTTCCATTTAAAGGAACATGTTTGTGTTAGTGTTAGAAATATATCTTCGCATTCCTAACGTGTTGCTCTGCTCGCCTGACCTCCCCCCCGGCTACGTAAAGGGTTACATAACCCTTTATTCACTTACCAGACTCCAGCGCCGATTTCCTCAGTACGGAGTCGTGCTTTGCCTCCTCAGATGTCAGCCGATGGGGGGACAAGTGCTGCACACTCATTAGGCCTTCTCCATAAGAAAGCATTGACTCAGTACTTTCCCATGGGGTTTTCATTGACACTGGATGTCCTCCTGCAGAGTGTGTGGATGTCCAACGTCGTTGTGTGTGTTTGTTTGTTTGCCACCCCCTTCTATCTCTCCTTAGAGGTGCTGTGGAGGCTTCCCTTGTAGTCCAGTGGGGGGAGTATTGTGAGCTGCAATAATATTGGGTGCAAACCACTTTAAGAGCTCCCTCACGGTTCCTCTGGCCTGCACCTGGCTCAGGACCAAGGTCTAAAAGACATCCCTGCTAGCTCAAGGACAGCCAACGCTCCAGGCCGAGAAACTGGTCCACCAGTCAGTGTGTGAACCCAGGCCCAAGTGGGCTGCCTAGGCAGCCTAAAGGGTATCCGGCTCTGGCACAAACGTATTCCTGATACTATAGTGTTAAAAACACCATCTAGCTCCCCTGCCCCCCCCTTGTCCCTCTAAATATAGTAAAATCTTTACTTTATTCCAGTCTGCTGCTACTGGCTCTGCCCCTGAACTGCCTACTTAGCTGACATCAGAAGTGGTGATCTCAGCCAAATAATGCTTTCCCGTAGGAAAGCACTGGATTGGCTGAGCTTGTCAAGAAGGCATATCAGGGGCAGAGCCAGCACAAGCCAAATACAGCCCTGGACAATTATTATTATTATTATTATTATTATTTTAAAGCACCAACAAATTCCGCAGCGCTTTATAATGGGTGGACTAACAGACATGTATTTGTAACCAGACAAGATGGACACACAGGAACAGAGAAACATAGAATGTGACGGCAGACAAGAACCATTCGGCCCATCTAGTCTGCCCAATATTTAGAAATACTTTTAATTAGTCCCTGGCCTTATTTTAAGTCTAGAATAGCCTTATGCTTAAACTGTGTTAACCTCTACAACTTCAGCTGGAAGACTATTCCATGAAGAGGGATCGAAGGCCCTGTTAAATGAGCTTACATGCTAGAGGGAATGCATCTCTATGAGGAAAGTTTAGTGTCTCCATCCTCTGCATGGAGACACTGAATGTTAGTGCTGCACAATGTACAGCACTGCCCCAGGAAGCACCTCTAGCAGCCAACTGAGGAGTGGTCAGTGGAGGTGTCCTAGGCTGTAATGTAAACCCTGCATTTTCTCTGAAAAGACAGTGTTTACTGTATTAATCCTGAAGGGAATGACTATACCACCACCAGAACAAATACAAAAAGCTGTAGTTGTTCTGGTGACTATGGTGCCCCTTTAAATTAAGAAATCATAATCTTTAACCAACTGAACATCTATTATTTTCCAAGCCTACCAGCAGCATGGTACTATTTGCTCTGTACTGGTTCAAATACTTACACAGAGAACATTCACCACATTAGACTTCTATTGACAAAGTGCCTCAATTGCACAGGTGACTAAACTCCCTCCCCCACTAAAAATTAATAAATTATGAAATTGAATCATTCAGGGTCATAACTAAGAACCACAGGATCCTAGTGCAAGAATAAAAGAGGCCCACTCAATACCTGTCTTGCCCATCGATAAGCAATACACCAGTGTGGGATTTGTGTGCTGTCTGAGTGTGACTGTGCAGAGGTTTGGCTGAATGTAATTCTGTGTGGAATTACAGAGCAACACTGACAGAGCACACCGTTCTAACACGAGAATGCACCATTACATCACATAGCAACAATTGCAGAGCACAGCATTCTAAAAAGAGAATGTGCCATTACATCACAGAGCAACACTGACAGAGCACAGCATTCTAACATGAGAATGCACCATTACATCACAGAGCAACAATCACAGAGCACAGCATTCTAACAAGAGAATGTGTCATTACATCACAGAGCAGCAATGGCAAAGCATAGCATTCTAACAAGAGAATGTGTCATTACATTACAGAGCAACAATGGCAAAGCACAGCATTCTAACAAGAGAATGTGCCATTACATCACAGAGCACAGCATTCTAACAAGAAAATGCGCCATTACATCATAGAGCAACACTGAGAGAGCACAGCATTCTAACAAGAGAATGTGTGTCATTACATCACAGAGCAACAATGGCAGAGCATTCTAACAAGAGAACGTGCCATTACACCACAGAGCAACAATGGCAGAGCATTCTAACAAGAAAATGTGCCATTACATCACAAAGCAAAACAGACAAGGCACTGCATTCTAACAAGAGAATGTGCCATTACATCACAGAGCAACAATGGCAGAGCATTCTAACAAGAGAACGTGCCATTACACCTCAGAGCAACAATGGCAGAGCATTCTAAGAAGAAAATGTGCCATTACATCACAAAGCAAAACAGACAAGGCACTGCATTCTAACAAGAGAATGTGCCATTACATCACAGAGCAACAATGGCAGAGCATTCTAACAAGAGAATGTCTCATTACATCACAGAGCAACAATGGCAAAGCACTGCATTCTAACAAGATAATTTGCCTTCCAGAATGTCATTGAGAAAGCACAGTATGTTACCAGAAGTCTGTGCCTTATAGTCTAATGTTGGGAAAGCACAGCATTCTACTAGGAGTGTACACTCACCCCAATGCACTTGCATCAACAGAGTACAATATATTATTTACCAAGGACAAATACATAGTTTGTCCTAAATTTACCCAGTAGAAATAACTGTATTCTGCTTGTAGATTGCGTGGTTAGCAGGGCTACAGAAGTATTCACCTCTGCAGACCTCTTATTAAAATATATTTTGTGTACCCCTATTCAGAACATAATTGTATTGCTGCAATTTTAACAGGACATAACTTTTTATATTCCATTGGATTCATAAATCGTAGATAATGTAAAACAAATGATGTAAATAGTTGCATTTGCTTCTGGTTAGAAAACAAAAACTTTTTATATCAATGTGGCACTGTTTGTTTTTATTTTAACTTATTTTTTGTTTTTTTCTGTTGTTGTTTTCGACTCATAACCTCTGAAATGTGTTGTGGTTCCAGACTAGACAAAAAAAGTTAAAGGATTTTGGAAACTGTGTGCGTAATTAAAATTTCGGAAATGCTAGTTTTTGGTTAACCATGTTTTTTAGTTTTCGTTTTTCTGTAAACGTGCATTTTGGGTTTCCAGCATGTAGGGTCGATGTAACGTAGGTTAACTACTTAATTGAGAATTTATTGTGAATTTCAGGTCAAAGTAGCTCAACTGGAAGCATATTTAACTAAGTAAATTTTTCCAGTTCAGCTATTGTATCCTTCAATCGCACATTCACTTTGAATTTTCACATTAGTAAATAACTGTGATAATGTTACATTTCAGAAATGTTTTACATTCTTGGTCATTAATATAATCCCACTTAAAAATGCAGCAATAGTTGCCTTTTGAAATGGTACTTCCTGCTTTACGTGAAGTTTTTAAAAGCTAAACAAGAATACATTACCACACTTTAATTTTAGCTTCTAAATTAGTAAAGTGGAACTTGAATTACTCTGTGCAGCAGCTAAACATTTTCTAAATTGAATAAATTGGGGAGTAGAGGCAATATTGTTAAATTAAATTTAAATTTGATTGACTTATTGGCAGGGCTGTAAACATAACCAAAAAATAGCAAGTTTACCTGCTCTGACCAAGTTATAAGTAAAGTAAAAAGGAGAGCATTCACATGTCTTGCTTTAAACTGTCTACTAGACTGTTCTAGTTTTTTTATCCTGTATATCTTTGTTTTGCTTTGTTTAAGCAGATTAAATGATCATAAGGAAGATAAATATTTAAGTCCTTAACCAAGGCTTTTATTAAGATCTTGATAAAAGTATGGGTTGGTGACTGAGAAGTTTATCATCCTTATGAGGTTTAAAAAAAAAAAAAAAAAAAGCAGAACTCTCTTTGAAGCATGATCTGTGAGTGCTATGTTATTTTTTTTTTTTTAAATGATTTAAAATCTATATTTATACACCTTTTTTAAATGTATTGTTGTGATACAGAGATTTTGTCTTTGTATTTGGAGTTTAGATTGTGTGTGTATCTATGTATGTATGTGTTTATTTTTATATATATATATATATATATATATAATGTGTGTTAGGGACACATAGCCATGTAAGGACTAGGTATACGCATAGGATAGTATAGAAGAGCAAGTCGGTTGTGGTGTGCCGGAACCGACGATGCGGTAGGCCTGTAAATAAAGAGGACCCACCAAGGAGAAAAGTTAAAGAGAGAAAGAAAGGAAGATGAAAATGTTGAGTATTTGGAGTGGTGGGAGGGTCATTCAAAATGCTGACCTCAGATGTATGGAGTAAGGTAAGGGGTCTCCCTTAAGTAGGTAAGTAAAATAATAAGCCCCTCCCACAATTACAGGCCAAACTACCTTTATTTATATATATATATATATATATATATATATATATATACAGTATCTCACAAAAGTGAATACACCCCTCAAATTTTTGTAAATATTTTATATCTTTTCATGTGACAACACTGAAGAAATGACACTCTGCTACAATGTAAAGTAGTAAGTGTACAGCCTGTATAACAGTGTAAACTTGCTGTCCCCTCAAAGTAACTCAACACAAAGCCATTAATGCCTAACCGTTGGCAACAAAAATGAGTACACCCCTAAGTGTAAATGTCCAAATTGAGCCCAATTAGCCATTTTTCCTTCCCGGTGTCATGTGACTCATTAGTGTTACAAGGTCTCAGGTGTGAATGGGGAGCAGGTGTGTTAAATTTGGTGTTATCGCTTTCACACTCTCTCATACTGGTCACTGGTAGTTTAACATGGCACCTCATGGCAAATAACTCTCTGAGGATCTGAAAAAAAATATTGTTGTGCTAAATAAAGATGGTCTAGGCTATAAGAAGATTGCCAAGACCCTGAAACTGAACTGAAGCACAGAGGGCAAGACCAAACAGCTGTTTCACAGGACAGGTTCCACTCAGAACAGGCCTCGCCATGGTCAACCAAAGAAGTTGAGTGCACATACTCAGCCTCATATCCAGAGTTTTTTTGGGGGAAATAGGCATATTAGTGCTGCCAGCATTGCTAAAGAGTTTGAAGAGGTGGGGGGGTCAACCTGTCCAGTGCTTAGACCATACGCCGCACACTGCATCTGATTGGTCTGCATGGCTGTCATCCCAGAAGGTAGCCTCTTCTAAAGACGATGCACAAGAAAGCCTGCAAACAGTTTGCTGAAGACAAGCAGACTAAGGACATGGATTACTGGCAGTGGCGTACATACCAGGGTAGCAGGGGTCGCGGCTGCGACCGGGCCCGGCCGCCCCTGCGACCCAGTATGTAGCCACAGGGCCAGCCTCTTCTCCTGGGGGGCCCAGGAGCCGACCACCCCAGGGCCCCCCGAGGCTGGCCCTGCTGTCCCCGGCGGGTGGGCGGCCGGTGCGCGAGGGAGCACTTTACACTCAGTGCTTCTTCTTCAGCTCCCTCGCGCACCGCACTGATGCCGCGGCCCCGACCCGCGCCGAGTAAGCGTGGGGGGGGGGGCCCTGGATCAATTTTCGCACATGGGTCATGTGTACGTCACTGATTACTGGAACCATGTCCTGTGGTCTGATGAGACCAAGATAAACTTATTTGGTTCAGATGGTGTCAAGCGTGTGTGGCGGCAACTAGGTGAGGAGTGCAAAGAGTGTCTTGCCTACAGTCAAGCATGGTGGTGGGAGTGTCATAGTCTGGGCCTGCACAAGTGCTGCTGGCACTGGGGAGCTACAGTTCATTGAGAGAATGCACATGCGCGGCAAGAGGTGCGCGCGCATTTAAACCGCCCATAGGAAAGCATTACTCAATGCTTTCCTATGGACGTTCAGTGTCTTCTCACTGTGATTTTCACAGTGAGAATCGCGGAAGCTCCTCTAGCAGCTGTCAATGAGACAGCCACCAGAGGCTGGATTAACCCTCAGTGAAACATAGCCGTTTCTCTGAAACGGCTATGTTTTCAGCTGCAGGGTTAAAACTAGAGGGACCTGGCACCCAGACCACTTCATTGAGCTGATGTGATCTGGGTGTCTGTAGTGGTCCTTTAAGTGTGTGTGCATACCGCGGTCGCGGGGTCGCAGCCCTGCGACCAGGTGCCCGCCGCCATGTGTCGCGGCCCCGACCCGCGCCGAGTAAGCGTGGGGGGGGGGGCCCTGGATCAATTTTCGCACATGGGTCATGTGTACGTCACTGATTACTAGAACCATGTCCTGTGGTCTGATGAGACCAAGATAAACTTATTTGGTTCAGATGGTGTCAAGCGTGTGTGGCGGCAACCAGGTGAGGAGTGCAAAGAGTGTCTTGCCTACAGTCAAGCATGGTGGTGGGAGTGTCATGGTCTGGGCCTGCACAAGTGCTGCTGGCACTGGGGAGCTACAGTTCATTGAGAGAGCCATGAATGCCAACATGTACTGTGACATACTAAAGCAGAGCATGATCCCCTTCCTCTCTCGACTGGGCCGCAGGGCATTATTCGAACATGATAACAATCCCAAACACACCTCCAAGACGACCTCTGCCTTGCTAAAGAAGCTGAAGGTAAAGGTGATGGACTGGCCAAGCATGTCTCCAGATCTATACCCTATTGAGCATCTGTGGGGCATCCTCAAACGGAAGGTGGGGGAGCGCAAGGTCCCTAATATCCACCAGCTCCTTGATGTCATCATGGAGGAGTGGAAGAGGACTCCAGTGGCAATCTGTGAAGCTCTTGTAAACTTCATGCCCATGAGGGTTAAGGCAGTGCTGGAAAATAATGGTGGCCACACAAAATATTGACACTTTGGGCCCAATTTCGACATTTCCACTTAGGGGTGTACTCACTTTTGTTGCCAACGGTTTAGACATTTATGGCTGTGTGTTGAGTTATTAAGGGGACAGCAAATTTATACTGTTATACAGGCTGTACACTTACTACTTTACATTGTAGCAGTGTCATTTCTTCAGTGTGATCACATGAAAAGATAAAAGAAAATATTTACAAAAATGTGAGTGGTGTACTCACTTTTGTGAGATACTGTGTGTGTGTGTGTGTGTATATATATATGTGTATATATGTATATCTATAATCAGAGTAATGCTTAATCTGGATTTTAAAAAAATCTTGTTTTATTTTATTTATGTTTTTATGTCTAAAACAGTTAAATGGTTATTGTAGCTTATTATAGTATTAATATATAATGGTATTGGGGTTTACTATATGTATTTTTTTCCCCTTGTAGGTTGACTTATGACCAAAATATTTATGCTACTTTATCTTGGAAACATGTTCAAGAACAATCTTGTCATGTGCAGACAGCTGTGAAATTATCGTAGCTGAGAATTGCTCATCAACTTCCTTCCTTAACCTGAATGCTTCTTAGCACTTGGTTCTGTTATTTCAGCCTGGTTGAACTTTGCCAAGTTTTAGAATGTGACATCATTTGATCCCACTTGAACTGAATCTATTCATACATTCTTTCTCTGTTCTACGTTTTGTTCCATTGGATACACACTCTAGAGATGTGAAAGAGGTGTTTTGCATAATGTTAGAAGAGTCAACCAATCACAATGCCCATTACTCAGGAGAATGCTATGTTCTATCGTGCCCTTCTCCATCAGTGGCTAAGGGACAACCTAAAAATGGAAGCCAATGGACCAGAGAAGACTTTGTATCTATCTGCCATTCAGAAACTAACAGAATACATTCAATTCAACTTTGTATTAGATGAGACGTTGTTGGATCACAAGCAGAGCATGATGGATATGGAAATCTGCACAGTTCATCTAACCAAGGATGAAAACAGCGATGAGGTTCTTGGCCTTAGTTTTGGCAATATTCCTATTTTTGGACACTGTGGTGAAAAACGTAGGGGAGGTAAAAAGAGGAAAGTTCAAAATGGGCCAGTGCTTGATGTTGGATGTATCTGGATAACGGACTTGAAAAAACAGAGTCCGGCAGCAAGGTGTGGGAAGATGAAGCTACGAGATGAAGTCCTATCATTGAATGGCCAGCTCATGGTTGGTGTTGATGTCTGTGGTGCCAGGTAAGATCTATTTATGATTCTTTCTAGTGCATTTATAAAAAGTTAATCACTTCACTGTGTCTAAACTAGATTTTACTCTAATTTGAATGCCTCTTGGGGGCCTGTATGAACTGTGCAGAGATTAGGATATCTAACAAGGTGATTATCAAATGATGCTCAAAACTGGCATGTCTCACAACCCAAATAGACAGTTACACAAAGTCCATACGCATTTGGCTGGCTGTGAGCGTATTGAGCTGAGCATATAGGTGATCAAATTTCAGAAGAACTAAAAAAATGTATGGTAAAAAAAACAATAATTATTTCAAGGCACATCTATAATTCAGTATTTATTAATTGACATTTTTGTAAGTCCAATGCACATTGATACATATGGTACATAACATGTATTGCATATTGTCAGTAGGTTTTGCATAATAACAATTCACGTTTCTTGCATTAATTTCATATACAGTGCGCATTGAATCATTTTGAATGGCTAAGCCTTAACTTGGTGGACAGGGTTGGTAGGGTGGGGTAGTGGGGTGGGGAGAGCATGTCAGTCCCTATGGACATGTCCATTGGTATCAGTTATATTGTACATATATGTTGGCAAAGAAGAGAAGTATGGTCACAGCTGTCGGAGCTGTTAGGACAATTGAGGGGTCTGAGGCTTTTCACTCAAATTTTGTCAGGTTACCTAGTATCTCCTTCGATGAGATTCCGTGGGTTATATGTGTCAATGCAGTTGTGATTTGTTTTCACCTGACATTTTTGAGAGATTCCAATGTCGACCATGCCTCGGTTATAAATGGTCTTGGGGGTGAGTTCCGCCTTGCCATAATTTCATAATTTTTGGTCATCTGTAGTGCTGTAATGCAGTGAGCTTGTTTTGGGGCTTCTAAACTGCGCCAAAGTCTACTAATCGTTTGGAGGGCTGCTAAAATAATGTGGTATATAAGATAGACGTACGCTCTTGCGAGACCTTTTGGAAATAGATGTAGTAGATAGGTTTCCGGGCTGTGGGGTAGACATACACCCGTACAGTTGCTTATAATTTGCGCTATGTCTGACCAATATTGCGTCACTTTTGGGCAGGACCACCAAATGTGTAGCATCGATCCCTTGTCCGCTAGGCAACGCCAGCATGTGTCTGGCAGGGTCGGGTTCCCCCGGTTTAGTCGCACTGGTACCATCTATACATTATTTTACGTGTAATCTCCACATGTGAGGAGCATAGAGCTAGGTTCTTGTGCGCTCTAAATATTTGGCCCCATTGGGTTTCGGAGATAGAGATGCCCATCTCCTGCTCCCACGCCTTAGTGAAGGTGGTGGTTTGGGATATCATTGTTGTGTCTTGTATAGCGTATAAGGTGGAGACCAATTTTTTGGTTGGTCGTAATTTGAGACATATTTGCTCAACCTCCGACAGCTGTAGACCATTTACAATGTTGTATGAGGCAATTTGTTGTTTTTTGAACCATGACATCAGTTGCGCATATGAGAAGTGTGCTGTAGCGGGTAACCCGTATTGTGTCTGTATATCTGCAAAGTTTTTTAGCATTGGTCCCTTGAATATGTGTAGATATCGCTTCCAGGGGTAACGCTAATGATATTTCGTCTGGCGGTACGTGTTTCCCCCTGTATTGGTCCCATAGTTGTAGAGTAAGTTTAGTTGTGGGGAGAATTCCCTTGTGGTTAGGTCTTAGTTTCCTAGACATCCAGGCTAGGGTAGAGATGTCGATATTTTGGCTATATACGGACTCCAGATTGACCCATTGGTGGGGTCTGGGATTACTGTTGACAGAGAGTATTGGATTTTGAATTGTGTCTGTTTTTTCCTTAGCAATGCAGCTAGCACTTTCCCCGCTTTGTTACCCTGGGAGTACTGTCTCATTTTGAGTCATGGAGTGTATAGGATGTCTTGGCCAGGTGGATGTCGTTCATGCGTTTGGTGGTGTTCTCTATGGTTTTTATATGCGTGTCTTCTGGCTTGATCGTGTGTGCTCTCGTGGCATCCCGTAATGTGCGCAGTAAGGTTATTTGTTCTTCATTGGATGTGCGTTTTAAGTAGGTAGCTCCACTGATTAGTATACCTCTAATGGTTGGTTTGTGGGCCTGCCATAAGGAGATGGGGGAGGTTTCTGGGTTTTAAGATTTTGGGTTAGCTGAGATAGAAGTGTAGCATTGTGTAGAAGAGATTCATTTAGGCGCCATGGCACCTGACCTCTGTGAGGGAAAGGGCCACAGAGGGACACGGTGAGTGGCACGTGGTCGGACCATACAATATTTCCAACCTCGCATCGATCGATCCTCGGGAGCAGGGGTCCCGACACCAAAATGTAGTCAATTCTGGAGAATGACTTGTGTACGCTTGAGTAGTATGTGAACTCCTTCTCTGTGGGGTGTAGTGTTCTCCATGCATTATATATATTGTGTTCTGTCATTAATTTGATAAGAGCTCTGCTTTGTGTTTTGGTTGCAGAGTGTCTGGGTGATGAGGTGGGCAAGGACGTGTCTGTATATGAATCCAGTACATGATTAAGATCTCCACATAAGATAATTGCTCCTATGGTTGTGGCAGGCAACTTGGTTAATATTTTGAGCAAAAAATTCCTTTGTTGTGTATTTGGACTATATTGTTGATCATGCAATGTATAATGATGTATCTCCCCTGCGTATCTTTCTGGGTGTTTAACAGTTCGAATGTTAGGGATCGGTGTTTTAGAAAGGACATGCCTTTGGATTTTGAGGAGTGTGTTGCATGGAATTGTGTGGGATATTACTGGAGACCAAACTTAGGGACTCTGTCATTAACAAAACGCGTTTCATGGACGCATAATATGTCGACTTGATCTCGTCTTGCTGCTTCTAGAAGGATGCGGCGCTTATGTGGATGGTTCAATCCCCGTGTATTGTGGGATTGTATTTTTAAAGACATAGTTTGGGTGGGGTATGCTTGTGTATGGTGACCATCATTGTGTGGGAGTAGTAGTTTTTGTGTCTGTGATCATATACCAACGTAGAATGGACATTTGTGCTTATGAGCTGTATTCTCTCCTTAGGTTTTAGGGTAAGGTAGTATAGGTATGTGAGGGTAAGGTAGAACCAGGGCAGAAGAACTTGGATAGGGTAAACACATATTCCTCCTATGAGGGAGTGGTGTGGGGGGTCCACACCGTAGGGGTAGGAGATCGTAAAGTCTCCCATAATGTGGCTGTTGAGCTCTTATTGCGTTCAATATCAAAGCACTTAATATGTGATTTCTCTTTTTGTGGGCTCGTCAGTTCCCGACTGTCTGTCTGGCCCCAGGTTTTGTTACTAAATTATCAGGTGACCCACCAGGCTTTTGCCCCAAAGGGCAGTCATGAGATGTTTATTACCTGGCACCTTTAGGGTTCCCTGACCTCCACTCAGCCCATGGCTGATACATATGGCCGACTGTGCGGACATATGTAGGGACGATGCTAGCCTGCATCGTCAGTCAATTTGTTGGGTGTGCCTATGCAGGGGGGGCTTTGTCGGCGTATAGATGCGCCCTGTATGACAGGTAATTTCCTGCATCCCTTCTTCAAGCCCCCCAATCGCCCACAATGTCATAATTCTTGTGGTCGCGTCTCCCCACCGCGCATACCTGTCAGTTAATTTATGCTGACCATCTCACTCTGTACGTGGAGTATTTAGGTATCAGCTATATCAAAAATGGAATATATGCAGATTATATGCCAGTTCTTATAGACCTATGAGCATCCCAAATAGCCGAGTGGAGTATCAGGTGTTTATATTACTTTTGTGTTTCCTGCCAATTCTTTGACAGTGTTTCCGCATAATGTAATGATATACTAATCCACAAACTTATAGTTAAACTGCAGGCACATTCAATCCTAACTCATATGCATATCATTTCCCCACATCTTTAGCGTACATCATAAGCAAACAACCTATGATTGTGTGTGTTCAAAGCTCGGAGCTGCCCCAACGTCATCATAGGCGATCAAGGGGCTGATGTATCGGGGTAAATATCAGCTGAGCTATACTGCTTGTTTGCTGGGTATTTTACCACATCTATATTATCATCTGGGAGATCCCCATGTAGATGGTGTGTGCGGTCCAGATATTGGATCATCCGCATGAACCTCCTGTGTATGAGGCAGTGAGTTTTACATGGCAATTCGTAACAACATGGAAGTAAACTATGTACATTGGTCATACATGGTGTGTAATTTGTCCCTTAAGCGGAGCACCCATGTTAGCTCCCCTAACTAACAATACAGTGTAGGTAAATACATGGTGTGTCTGCTGTGCCACAGTTAAGATATACTTGCGGCCTGCGTTGTTGTTCGGCTAAGAGTCTTTTGCGGGTCGTGCTCCATTCCTGTGTGAGCTTCTTGAGTGAGCTTAAAGTGTCTCTTGGTGGTTTGGTTGGAATATTCCATTCCAACAGCATTTTGATGCCCTCCTCTGGGGTAGCGATGGTCTTGATGCTCCCATCCCGTTGGACCAGTAGCTTGGTCGGGTATCCCTATTGGTATCTGGTGCCGTGTTGCCGTAAAGCCTCTGTGACCTGTTCAAAGCTTCTCCTCCTTTGCAGTGTTGCTGCCGAGAGGTCAGCAAATATTTTGACAGTTGGATATTCCTCGTGTGGTTGGCTCCGGTTGCGGCTCGTCTTCAGCACGAGTTCCTTAATGTGAAAAAAGTGTGCTCCAAGAAGTACATCGCGAGGCATCGAATCAGGTAGATATTGTGGTTTTGGGACTTGGTGCACCCGGTCGACAAGCAGCATATCCGCCGGTATATCTGGCGCGTAGGCTCGGAGTAAGCCCCTGGTGTAAGCCTGGAGATCCTCTTGGAATACTGACTCCTGCAATCCCCGGAGTCTTATATTATTGCGTCGTGCTCTATCTTCAGTATCTGCCAATTTCTTCTCTAACACCTCCATTTTTTTTCCAAGCTCTGCACATGGTCGGCCATATCGTTGTGTGCTGTTGCGTAGTCCACCATTTTAGATTCTATATGTGATGTACG